TTCTAAACTTACCTAAAGTTGGTTATCAAAAATGTTCATTTAAAAACTTACTTATTATATCCTACAAATATCATTGGGCACTAGTGTATTATATCAAAAATCAAAAGACTTATTTTATTATTTTATTTAAAAATTGAAAATCAAACTATTTTATTGCCTAAGTTATTAAAAACAAACATAACCCTACAAGATAACTGATCAAACTTGTCAACAAGCTCCATCCTGAAGCATAGACTAAGGAAAATGCACTGACCGTTGAGCATTAGTGGTACCTTGTACTGCAGCTCGACCACTATATATGATAACAGACTTTACTTATCTGCCACTAATGCTTAGATATCCCTGATAAGAATTTTTCTCCAATTGTCATCACACTTTGTGAAATTCTTAAAGATAATTAATTATGCAGTGGTCTGATTATTGATTGTGATCTCGAATGTGTTTAATGATTAAGATTTTCTACTGTTTTAAATGCTAGAGGGATTTTTGCAAGCCAAACGGTTGAATCTAGAGATGGCAAATCTACAGGAAATAATAATTGAGTCTAATGACAACCATGGCTTAATGCAGGACTATATAGCTAAAATATGCTTTGAAATAAATTTAATAAAATGCAATAATCCTGAGGTGAAAATGGAAAATCCCATGTTATTCTTATGGAGAACAAGTAAACTGTTGTATTTTGCTTGTTTATGAACATATTTTGATCAAATTTGGAAAATATTTTTATTTCTTACAAACTATTAACATTTTACAAAAAAAAAACTGTTTTACCCTCCCTGATTTAGCAAACATAAGTACTTGTTAAACTAATTGTAGCTGTGAACTAGCATCAGCTGACTAGTGTCCTTTATGTTTACGATTTTGGATATTTCGGTTGTCATGGTGACTAATGGGTGTTGAGTTGAATTAATGTTTAGAGAAGGTTCGTTTTGTTGTCCTGTTTTTTAAAGTGTAAAATATAACTAAGTTGTAGAAAGTTCTGAAGAGTTTTATTTTCCCACAAGCTATTTCGGCATGTCTGGAAACGGTACAAGATTTTCGGATTTGGTAAAGTTGTATGATGGCGAAGGAGACTTCTCGGAATGGCTGAAAAAGTTAGAGCTTGTATGTAAACTTCAGAAGGGTGAACGTGTGTATGTCAAGCCGCCAAACCCATCCTGTACTTCGAGATGGGAGGAAGGAGTGGTTACTGGACAGTTTTCACCCAGAAGTGTTGAAGTAAATGGCAGGCCTCATCACATAGCAGATGTGCGAAAAGTAGTTGAAAGTAAAAATGAAAGTGTAAGTTGTGTCGGCACCTCGAGGGCGTGTGGTGGTGTTGACACCACGGGGGCGTGTAGCTGTGAACTAGCATCAGCTGACTAGTGTCCTTTATGTTTACGATTTTGGATATTTCGGTTGTCATGGTGACTAATGGGTGTTGAGTTAAATTAATGTTTAGAGAAGGTTCGTTTTGTTGTCCTGTTTTTTAAAGTGTAAAATATAACTAAGTTGTAGAAAGTTCTGAAGAGTTTTATTTTCCCACACTAATTCCATTTAAATAGGAAATAAATGTTATATTTTTAAGTAGACATTTTAGTGTAAATCCAATCAGGCAAATGGAAATTCGCTTAGTCTGCAGGTTTGATGCGGCGGGGGTATTTAGCCTCTATGGAGTAAAAATCAGCTGTTGTCAACTCAGTTGTAAATTTCTATTGTATCGAAAGTATGTATCGATTCGTGCTTCGTAATCATTTTAACCTACAGTCTACAGTCTCTTCCCATAGCATTTTAGCATTGCAGATACATTAATCCATTCCCACAATCAACATTGCTCACCTTTACTATTCCCTTCACCACCTCCTACGTTGTGGACCTGTTTTCCTCTCTTCCCATAGCATTTTATGATTGCAGATACATTAATGTAATTGCCAAAGACAGTTCCCACAATCTGCACTGTAAGCCTTACTACTTCCTTCACCATTTCCTACGTCATAGACCTGTTTCCTTCCCTTCTCATAGCATTTAAGTATTAGATTACATTTATCTAACTGCCCAAACGGTTCCCCCACTCAACACTGCCAGCCTTTGCTACTTCCTTCACCACTTCCTACTTTGTGGGGCCTGTTTCGTTCCCTTTTCATAGTATTTTACGGTTGAAGATACATTAATCTAGCTGCCACTGACGGTTCTCACACTATGCTCATAATTTACTACTTCCTAAGCCACTTCCTACATCGTGGACCTGTTTTCATCACTTTCCATAGAATTTTTGTATTTTAGATACACGTTAATCTAATTTCCACAAACATTCCCCACACTCTGCACTGCTAGCCTCTACTACTTCTTTCACCATTTTCTATGTCGTAGGCATGCTTCCATCCCTTCTCATAGCATTTCAGCATTGCAGATACATTAATCTAACTGCTACAAACGGTTTCCAGTTCCCACACTCCACACTGCTCACCTTACTACTTCCTTCACCTCTTCTTACGTCGCGGACATGTTTCCCTCTCTTCCGTCATAAACGCTCTCCCCTCCCTCTCTCCCCTCCCTCTCTTCCCTCCCTTCCCATAGCAATTTAGGATTGCAGATTCTTTAATATAATCTTCATAAACAGTTCCCACACTCCGGACAGCTCGCCTTGTCTACTTCCTTTACCACCTATGTCCTACGTCTCAAACCTGTTCCCCTCCCTTCCCATAGCATTTAGGATTGCAGAAACCTTAATCTAATCGTCATAAACGGTTCCCACACTAAGGACTGCTCGCATTTACTACTTCGTTCACCACTTCCTACGTCACGGACCTGTTTCCTTCCCATCCCATAGCATTTTAGGATTACAAATACCTTAATCTAATCGTCACAAAAAGTTCCCTTACTCCGGACTGGTCACTTTTACTACTTCCTTCACCACTTCCTATGTCAGAGACCTTTTTACCTCCCTTCCCTTAGCATTATTGGATTACAAATGCCTTCATCTATTGGTCATTAACAGTTCCCACACTCCGTACAACTTGCCTTTACTACTTCCTTCACCACTTCCTACGTCACGGACCTGTTTCCCTCCCTTTCCATAGCATTTTAGGATTGCACATACGTTAATATAATCGTCATAAACAGTTCTCACACTCCGGACTGCTCGCATTTACTACTTCCTTCACCACTTCCTACGTCACGGAACTGTTTCCCTCCCTTCCCATAGCATTTTAGGATTGCAGAAACCTTAATCTAATCGTCGTAAACGGTTCCCACACTAAGGACTGCTCGCATTTACTACTTCGTTCACCACTTCCTACGTCACAGACCTGTTTCCTTCCCATCCCATAGCATTTTAGGATTGCAATTACCTTAATATAATCACCACAAAAAGTTCCCACACTCCGGACTGCTCGCCTTTACTATTTCCTTCACCACTTCCTACGTCACGGACTTGTTTACCTCCCTTCCCTTAGCATTGTTGGATTGCATATAGCTTCATCTATTGGTCATAAACAGATCCCACACTCCGAACAACTCACCTTTACTACTTCCTTCACCACTTCTTACGTCACGGACCTGTTTCCATCCCTTTCCATATCACTTTAGGATTGTAGATACCTTAATCTAATGGTCATAAACAGATCCTATACCCCGAACAGCTCGCCTTTACTACTTCCTTCACCACTTCCTACGTCGCGGACCTGTTTCCTTCCCTTCCCATAACATTTTATGATTGCAGATACCTAAATCTAATCGTCATAAACAGTTTTCACACTCCAAACTGCTCACCTTTACTACTTCCTTCACCCTTTCCTACGTCAAGGACCTGAAGCTAGTGTCGTCATTTGATTATATTTATGATCCATACCGTTTCTGTTCTAATATCTGTGGAATAATGCTATCAGCTATTTCTTTATCTACTGCATTCAAAAGTCAACAGCTGATCGTATGTCTTTGTTTATGTGTCAAATACTGCTTCTATAAGGATTACATTGAAACTTTGAGACCCAGTGGGGCGGATTCCTGAGAGATTTTTTTAACGCCATATAGATGTTGGCACTCGACATGGTCTTTATCACCATGCAAAATTTGAAAACGATTGATTCAGCCATCTAGGAGGAGTTTGCGTATTACAAAATGCATAAGAGTCGATGTATAAGAGCTTCGCTCGCTCTGCTCAATGAAAAAAACGAGATTCTATTTATCTAGGAGATGCTATGGAGAACAGTCATACCACACAAACTTTAAGCCCTAAACTTATTAGGAGTGTTAAAATAAGAGAGTTACACATTTTATATTTAAAGATTTGTTTGAAAAGGAACAGTAGTTTTATTATTATAAAAATGTAAAGGCCAGTACCTCTTAATACCTTAATTAATGCCTAAAAAGTTTGGATAGAAAGTTTAACGTTTACAAATTGAAGCAACTGATCTGATTATTTAACAACCAAACCACTAGTTTAAACTATCATGAGTTTAGTCACTGACGCGTTCTGCAATTGCGTAAACATTGCGCAACTTGAGCTTGATTTTCTGACTTGGTGCTCGATCCCTCTAGCTAATAATCGAGGCTAAACTTGGCTCAAAAATCGAGCTGCTTGCACATCTCTACTGTTTATTATAATTATTTATAAACCTCAGTGATTGACCAGAACATTGGGTGCATCGGCGACTATGCTCAGCTTTGCTAAAAAGCTGCTTTGCAAAGCTTTAGACTGCTTTGCCACAAACTTAGTATCAAGTGTACTATCAAAAGTGTTAGTATCAAGTATGTAATATAACTAAAATATATAATAAAAAAATAAAATAAAAAACCAGTGGACAAAGTGTAAAAAAATAACATCCCACCCTCCTTGGCAAAATGTGATGAACACTTAAAAGCAGAGGGTAACACAAAAAAAGGTAACTCAAAAATAGACGTAGAAAATTATTTCTTTAGCAGTTGTATTTGGTTTGGAATCTTTTAAGATGTATAAATATTTACTTTATATATACTTATCTATGCGTAGTTTTTAATGTTTTGAATATAATAGTTACCGTTAGGTGTTTCGAGGAAGATTGTAGTAGTTGTCTTGAAAGAAGATAAATAACACGTGATAAAGAACCTTCTACAGAAGAACTCACAGCCTTTTCTGAAAATACACACAACTTTTCAGTAGGAAATAAAATACTATAAAAAGACACGACAAAAAAAAATTACAGACCAAGGGATAAAATTAAATGCTTTTAACACAATGCAACTGTCAAAACACATCTGAAACACATGTGGACATTATTAGTATAAGATTCCATCCAATGACATTCTTTTATGTTTTTGATCCATACCGTTTCTGTTCTAATATCTGTGGACGATCCCATTGTTGCGATGTTCTGCGATCCAATAATAACATGTCGCAACCAGAGAGCGCATGATTTTTGCAATACGCAACAATGCTGATCAACAATTAATATGTTAAATATTATCATGAGTTTGTTTTTTTTTAACTTTATCTATATAAATAAATGTAGAGTTTTGTCTGTCCTTTGCGTAGAATAATATATTTTTTGGTTATTTTTACGTTTTATACATTAAAGAAGCGGAAACAAGGCTTATCTCAATTTCTGTCCGTCTGTCACGACCCAGAAGGCATTTTATGCGGCCTTCTCCTGAAAAACGAGAATACCTATCAAGATTCAAATCATTTTAATGTATTCACGGGATTGGCGAGAGTGTCTTTTCAATTAAAATATGGCCTCACTACTTTGTAAATAAAATGACGGGACGTTCAAAAACCCAATTTTGTCCGATTATTCCCCTGTTTCCGAAGTTTTATTCCTAATGATTTTGAATGATTTTACATGATTCTTTTAACCCTTTAATGACTATTTCATTTTTTAGTTTTGATAAAAGATTTTTTTGTTAATTCAACAAAAAAAAATTATAGTCCCTCTTGCACCAATCATTATGCCAATTACTGATATAGAATTTAGACCATATCTACCTCTTCACACTCGTATAAATATGCTCTAGACTCATAAAGTAAAGGCTATGACATTTTTGACTCGCAAACCCTTAAATTCAGCCTTTGAAACTAAATTATACAGCTTAGAAAAAACACATCTTAGAGTATTCAGAATGTTTATTTGAAGTTTTTACTAACTATTTTGCAGTTTTTAATTTTATGTTTACACTTAAACATATTTCTAAGAGTAGATTCATCCATGGAATTTGTTAGTTTTTAGGCCCCTGTTTAGTCAACTCACCACAGTCTCTATCAAACAGCCCAGTGAGGTAGATGTCTCTGAGACAGGCCGCAGCACAGTTAACAATGTCCAGTCTGTTCCAGTCCACCGGGTGAAACATGTTTTCACATGCTCTGGGTACAAACACAACGGGAGCAAGTGAAACAAATTGTAGTCACTAGATAATAAATAAATAAATAATCTACATTTTACTAAGAGAAGAAGTTAAACAAATAGTTTTTTTTTTATATATATTATAATTAATTGTACTTTCTATTAATTACTTTCATACTTGAATTGTTGGTGTTTATTTGACTCGACACACAATCCACTTCTTGCGCAATATTTAATGGACACATTGACCAGTATGATGAAGGTATCAATTGGTTTGTTTCTGTCAGTCAAGTTTATGTTTTACCTCTTTTTCTCCAAATAGTTTAAATGCTTAAACCTTCTTTATATCCCTATTGCAAAAACCGTGTGAATTTCCCCTACACCACCTCACCAACTTGCCACACCAAAAGCTCCACCAACTACAATGAACAGATACTGACCAGTCACCTGCAACACTCCAGTAGCTGCAACAGATCTCTAATTTGTAATATACACTGTCATGTTCCTGTCCTATTCTAAGCTGATGAGGACCTATGAACAACACTACTGTAGTTGGTTCTAGGGGTCAGTCGGTGGGTTTACTACTCAATAAAATGCCTCATCAGATCACCAAATTTTTTTTAAACTTACAAGTCTACGATGTAATATTGCTTTCTGCCAGTAACTGCTCACCTAGTGATTGCTTCAGAGGCAGCTTTCCTGACTCGAGCATCCTCGTCCCCAAGCAGTGCCAACATGACAGAGTGCAGCACCTGGGACTGGAACTCACTGTTGCCTGTCACATGGTGGATATGCAGGTACGACAAATATCCCAGCAGTTCCAGTAGTTTCACCTGAGAACACAATTCAATTTTGCATGTCATTGAACAATAGTGTCTGATTATGATTGGAATGTAAAATCAAAGACAATTTACAGTTTGACGTTTTAAATGTGAGCATGTTAACATGTGTTATATTTACGTATGGAAATAGAAGTTATATTTTAAAGTATGAATACCTTAACACATTGGTTCCCAAACTATGGATGAGAGAGCAATTTTTATGGGTCGGGAAGAGATCAAACATTAAACAAATTTTATATGGACCTGTAATTTTTAATTTTTCCCTACCTGAACGGTCGAGTGAGCACCAGAACAGTACCAAGCGGGTAGCCATGGGCCATTTAAAATATTTTCAGTTTATTCACAATTCAGCATGACTTCCGTGATAAATGTGATTGTTGGCTCTCACAACAAATCAAGTTTGATTACCAAATGTTTAGGAAATCGTTATTTATAATAATTAAATTTTCAACTTGAGGTTGTTAGTTTAACAGGTAGGCTCGGTTAAGTTGTCAACCTTCCTGTTAAAGACAATGACACATGATAGGGGTTGAGTTATTAGGAGAGTTTGGTATGCAGCCAGTCACCTGTAATCAAAAGGCTTGGTTTACCTTGACCAGCCAGTAAGAGTTGTCTGCCACTCTCAGTAGCGCAGGCAGTATAGGTAGAGCAGTCTGGTGGTCATGACTACACAACAGAGGTCCTAGACAGACACAGAGGCTGGTCAGAGCATGCCTCACACATGTGGAGGACTCGTCCTGTAGACCCTGCACAGTAACATCAAACGTTAAATTACTATATTCGTGTTACAGCTTGAAAATTAGAACCACATTTTTGCCTTGTAATTAACGAATTGGTCTAATTATCAGGACAGCACTGCGGATAGTCGTAGTACTCACTAGTGCCGACGTTAATCCACACCAGGGAGTATCGCATCCACAGTGCATGCCTATAAATATCCACAATTTGTGACCTCCTAGTAGCTGGATTACAGAACAACGTCACCGCCCTAGTGGCTTTATATGTTCATGCATTCACTCTATTATGCAACATTAATTGCCTATATTAATAATCTATATCAAGTAAAGTTTGGGGCCACGAGATTTAAATTAATCTAATTTTACTAAATCATCACAAACAATAAAAATCTATCACTTCATTAGATGCTAATTCTTCATCAACCTCCATAAGAAAAATTGGTTTGCATTATATTTACAATGGTTCGTAGGAGGATATTTAAAACTTATCTTTCCAAAAATCAAAATTTCCCTTTCTAAAACATGCGAGCCTAAATTTTTTCCCAATAGCAAACAGGCTGCTTGGATTATATGAACTATTTGACTTGACTTCTAAAAACCTCTCATGTTGTTTATAAAGACGAACAAAAAATAGTAAAATAATTGCATTTATTAGAGAATTTGACTGTTTGACTGACCGTGGTTAGAAGTGACACTAGGGAGGGGAGGGTGACTGGTTTGGTCGGTTGACAAGTGTTGACCCACTGATCAAACGTTGTAGCAGCAGTGGTGATTGAAGAGCAGATAAATGTTCCAACCAGAACACAACACAAACCCCTCAACTGCTGGTCAGAGTGGGTCGCAAAGCACAACACATCACTCACATGAGAAAAACCTACAATCAATAAATGTATTAAAGCAACAAAAGAAAAAAAAAATGTTTGAATAACATTTTAAGTAATTAGAAAAAGGTAAGCTTTTATTCCATTATTCAAATTTAAGGGAAAACTTCCATAAATTAATATTCTCTTCTCTAATATTTCCTAGTTGTGTAATACGGATAAGTAATTCAATCACCGAAGAAACCTGCTAAGTACAGAAAATAATAAACTAGGTATGATAAGTAAACTACTCAAATAAATGCATCTCAACTCAAATAATTATAAAGTTTTTGTGTCTAGTTCATATTGGTGACTTGAAAACAAACAAAATCTAGAATTGACTGTATCTGATGTTTTAGTTATAAGTAATTTGTTAAACAATTATTTTATAAACTGTATAAAAGATCTTCAAACAAAATCAGATATAGAACCTAGTGTACAGAAAAATAGTCTTTCAAGTAGTCTCACTCCTCATAATCAGACTTTTCGATGTGAGCCCACAGGTGAAAACAAAATTATTAAAATATTAGATTCTTTAAAAAATAAGCAATCATATGGGTTTGATGAAATTCCTGTAACTATAATAAAATCTGCAAAAATACACCTATGTAAAATCTTAGTTCATCTGGTTAACTCTTCTTTAATATCTGGCATTTTTCCAAAAAAAATTAAAAATATCCAAAGTTGTACCTATACATAAAAAAGATTCTACAAAAGACATGTCCAATTATCGTCCAATTTCGATTCTGCCATCCTTTTCAAAAATTTATGAAAAAGTCATGTGTATGTGTTAAGTCATGTTGATTATCCCAATTCTTAGAAAATTCAAACATTCTAGATATGTCCCAGCAGGGTTTTCGGCCCGGAAAATAGGTTTTCACTGCAGCCGTTTCTTTTATGAATCCATCATAGAGTCCATAGATAAAGGGGAGAACGTAGTGGGCATATTTATGGATTTAACAAAAGCTTTTGAAAGCGTAAATCATCATCTATTACTTGATAAATTATTGAACTTTGGTGTCAAGGGAGTTGCATACAATTGGTTTAAGTCATACCTTTCCGACCGATATCAGTATGTTGAAATTAACCAAACCATTTCAAATAGGATCACGGGCGCAGCATTGGACTTATGTTTGGTCTCAAGTGGCGTCCCACAGGGATCGATTCTGGGTCCTTTGCTGTTCTTATGTTACATAACCGGACTTCCTGAAGTGCTACAGACTGTTCCCCATAGTAATTTATGTTTATATGCAGACGACGCAAATTTAAAAATCTCAGCAAAGAACCAAAATGAAATTGAATATTTAAGTTTTATAGAACTAGCTAATTTAAAGCAATACTTCAATAATAATAGTCTTTTGTTAAATCCAAATAAAACTAAATTTATTACATTTTCCACAAAGCAAAATCGTAAAAAAATATCTCCAAATATAATGATTGAAGAGGAAATTATTGAACAAGTGGATGAGGCTAAATTTTTAGGTCTATATATTGATGAAAACTTATGCTGGGACAAACATGTCGAACATATATCGAGAAAAATTAACTCCGGTTTATTCGCCTTAAGGCGTATGGCCAGCCTATGCTCATTGCCTGTACTAAAACAAATATATTTTGCTCTGATTCACTCTAATATTTCTTATGGAATTGGCTTGTATGGTGCAACAACAATAAATAATCTGAATACAATTCTAAACCTACAGAAAAAAGCAATTAGATGTATGCTCAAACTTGAAGATGATGACTCCGCAAGAGAACACTTCAAAAATCTTAAAATTTTAACTGTGTATGGTCTGTATATTTTTGAATGTATCTTATTTTTTATAACAAAAACTTATGTACAACCAATAGGTCATAAATATAATACAAGAAGACAGACCGAAAAACATTTTGAAAAACATAGATTGGGATTTTTTTTAAAAAAAAGACGACATACATTGGCAATAAATTCTTTAAAGCACTTCCGAATGAACTAAGATCAGAAAAAAATAATAACAAACTAAAATGTAAATTGAAAAAATATTTGATCAACAAACATTTACTCAATAGAGGAATTTTATGTATACAACAAAATTATGAAGCAGTAGTGGTAGTTTTTTTTTTTTTTTTTTTTTTAGTTTATAATTGTATTGTTTTTTAGTTTTATATTTGACGCCATTCCATTTCTTGTAATGACATGTACAAGGACAAATAAAGTGATTTGATTGATTGATTGATTGTCATGAGAACTAACTCAATAGGATAATTATGGATTCTTAATTTTGTGTGATGTCAGCGGCCACTGCTCAACCCTCGCTCTCAGTCTGCCATGATGATGGTAAGCTTGAGTCTAAGTCTGCTTAGTTCTGTATGTAATACTGTTTAGTAAGCGTAGCTTTGAATAGCTCTCACACTGGCTCTCATGAGATGAGAACACGTCTTACTCGACTCAAAATTACTCTCAAATTAAACTTAAATTTTAAATGAGATTGTTTCTACATTGACCCCTGGAATTTTGTTCACTTGAATAAAACCATTAAACCCAGCCAAGGCCCCACCCAGACCTCTATATTTCTCAAATTTTTACACCTAAGGGCAAAAAATCTCACAGTCGCTCTGTACTATTCTCCTACGATTACAGGGACAAAACCATCCTCTCCTGCAATCCTAAATAAAATCGCTGGCAAATGGAACAAATCTCCACTGGAAAAAAACCCAAATCGAAATAACAGCCCCCCCCCCCCCAAAAAAAAACATTTATTGGTGGTTTTAGTTAGCTGTAGTAAATAAGACACCTTACCATCAGCGGTAGCTTGGCTGTTGACATCAATAGTGCAGAAGAAGAAAGACGGTTGTACACGGACTAACTGAGTTAGACATTGTAACGCCAAGGCTCTAACACTGACACGCATTCTGGGCCCTGAATTGCCCTCTGGTAGCAGGAACCCTGTGACTAGACGACGACAACAGTGTAATAGAGCTGGCTGGCCAGCATCTAGTGTAGACCCTACCTCCCACACCTGTAATGAACAAACAATAGGTAGTTTTTTGATTTGGCCCAGATTGTATACATAATTTAGTTTAATTTGGATATCATCATTAGCAAAGTAACAAAGTTTTGTATGTATTTAGGTTAGGCCTAGAGCCCTTTACCAAGAATACCTAAAGTTGATGTATTTAATATGTCAGTTACCTGAACATTAGCGACTGATTGACTTTGTTGATTATCTGTAGCTTCTGGCGAAGGTGTGTCTCGAGCCAACAACATATCTGCTTCTAGACTAGGAGCTCGCTCTATAGAAGGTCCAACTAGAATTGGTAAAACTTCTCTCCTACTTCCTATATTCTCTGTATCACTTTCTTCTGCAATGACAACAGATATGATCATTGTAACTAAACATAATAGTCTAAGGCCAAGAAGAGCGGGAATAACAAAGAGTTAAGAGTTGTTTGTTTACAGCCTGAATTGTTCATCACAGTTAATACAAAAACACATAACAGCAAGTTATAATACAAAAAATAGGCCAAGATTTACTATAGAAAATATTAATCAAACATGAATGATCCACGACGATTGGTAACAGTGCAATTGTTTTGTGTTCTTCATGTGTATATTGGACAAAAAGCCAATTTTAAATATTCTGCACATGAATAGTTCAAGCTAGTTGTTTTGTTATAGTACTAGCTGTAACCCGCGGGCTTTGCCCCGTTTAACTTCTTAATTTTCAAGATGATCTCGTTCGCATGGCTCAATCACGTCCTGGTTGAAGTTCGTTCACTACGCTCACTCACCTTTAGGTTGGAGCTCGTTCGCTACGCTCACTCACCTTTAGGTTGGAGCTCGTTCGCTGCGCTCACTTGCCTTCAGGTTAGCTCGTTCGCTACGCTCACTTGCCTTCAGGTTAGCTCGTTCGCTACGCTAACTCGCCTCCAGTTTGAAGTTCGTTCGCTACGCTCACTCACCTTTTGGTTGCAAATTAGCTGTTGTCATAAATGTAAAAGAAATAATAGTGCTGCACCCTGTTGGTAATCCTTGTAACTTTAATGCTATTGAACATCATAGAACAGAACCAACTTGTTTAATTGAAACAGCTGTTAAGATTCATTAATTCCATTTCTCATAAGGTTAACATGGGATACTCCAGAGCCACTGGGGCGGAGCCGATTGGACGGATCACGAAATTGATGGTGTATAAACCTATTCCATGAAATTCTACACGTATGTACCAAGTTTCGTGGTAATCGGTTCAGCAGTGTCTGAGTTTATCACTGCCAAACAAATATACAAACATCCTCTTTTATACTTATAGATCATGTTTTTGTAAGACAATTTGTTTGAAGACATAAGGCCTTGGATGGATATGATTATTGATTATACTTTATAGAGGTTTGTAACACACCTGAGGCTGAGTCTATCTGGGAGGAGGTGGAGGAGGAGTGTATCCATTGCACCAGTCTGCCATCTTGTATTGTCTCCTCTTGTGTATCCAGCAGAGGAGAATCTGCTGTCACTGAGGCCACACTCATCTCACCTAGACACACAATAGCTTAGTTTATTTTGTTTCTTTTCATTAATTATATTTGCATTGCATGCTACATTACATCCTTAACATTACATTCAGCAGAAATTAATAATCTTACACTCAAATATTAATTACACTCTGAGCATTTGCAAAAAAAAGTATGAAACAAAACTAAACTAATGTTAGCTAAATTTCTATGATATGAGAAATGTTTAGGATCTTACTGAGTGATCTGCGAGACAGTTTTTCAGTATCAGCAGCCTGGGTGTGTATGTGAGATCTGCTGATGCCTTGAGGAGACAGGAGAGTGTCCAACAGTTGTCTAGGAGCTGATGTCAACAACTGATGTAATGTCTCTAATGCTGTAGTCACCATGTTGTGGTCCGGGTGACTACTCAGGTGTAGACACAACTCGTATATCTGCAACATCATACACAACAACTGATGTAATGTCTCTAATGCTGTAGTCACCATGTTGTGGTCCGGGTGACTACTCAGGTGTAGACACAACTCGTATATCTGCAACATCATACACAACAACTGATGTAATGTCTCTAATGCTGTAGTCACCATGTTGTGGTCCGGGTGACTACTCAGGTGTAGACACAACTCGTATATCTGCAACATCATACACAACAACTGATGTAATGTCTCTAATGCTGTAGTCACCATGTTGTGGTCCGGGTGACTACTCAGGTGTAGACACAACTCGTATATCTGCAACATCATACACAACAACTGATGTAATGTCTCTAATGCTATAGTCACCATGTTGTGGTTTGGGTGACTACTCAGGTGTAGACACAACTCGTATATCTGCAACATCATACACAACAACTGATGTAATGTCTCAGAAACAACTAAAAAATAACTAAAATAACTAACTAAATAATATTTGCCTGGTTGAATTTTCACTTAAATACGTCTTTGTTTTTATACATGTCAGAATCATTATATATTTAAATAACTTTAGGTTAAATGAGAGTAGCTTTGTTGGCAGGCACAAGGGATGTGTTAAGTAGTGTTTTAAAATATACTAGTGTCCCTGTTGCTCGAATTCGAGCAATTGCTAAGTATTGCAGGAGTTATTTTAAAACGAATATTAACCAAGTAAGCAAATATTTGTAGCAAACTGTTAAATTAACAAACTTATTGACTGTTTACAATTAACATTATATGTTATTCTTCTCACTTTTGATTTCTGACAACAGCTGGAGTTTCATAACAATTTTTGTTTCCAATGTTAATCTTATGGAAAAATACGAAACTTTAAAGGGCTCCAGGGCCTCACTCTCTCATTATTTCCCTAAAAAGAAAGTTTCCTGCACAACTTCACGTTACGCTCTTTCCAATGACACCAAAAACATGACAGTCGGTTCAGTAGTTTCGGAGGAGTATTTGTCACAAAAAATCTGCTTGCGTATTAAATAAGTATAAATAGATGTTAATAGCTTATGCATAAAATAAGTAAATATGCAAAACTTATAAATTCAATTTCAACATTCCTGCATAAATCCTGCTTTGTCGATCTGTGGCCAACCTAATGGTTGATAATTTGGATATAATGGACAATGTAAACAAAGTATAGGCTGTACTTACTTGTATGAACCTATCAACACTAAAGAGACAGTCATGATCACCAGCTGTGGCCTGGGTCAGATGTGGTAGTAGCAGTCTCACACAGTTTAGTGTTCCCTGTACAGTCAACTCCTCCCCCTCCTTGACTGGTACAATACCATCTAGAAACACAGAACATTGGTAACTCAGAAACTATCAGATTTAGATTAAACATTAAAAGGAGAAGTTTATAATATTAATTGCACTTTTTTAATGGCCACCATTTTCCAATATGGTGGCTAAATTGTACCTATGGAACACTGGGACTAGGTTTGCATGATTCAATCAATCAATCAATACGTGTTACATCCTTGTCTTGTGATCCTTCTCCGCCGTGAACAAACTATGCGTTTTTATGCTCACACATCATTTTCAGGTATCACAAAAAATGAACTTTAAAAACTATCATTAGGATGCTCATGTTACATAAAAAATACACAACACAAAAAATTAAAACACAGAAAAAAGTGTAGACCTACATGAATTGTGACTTGGCATGTGCCCACTGCATTAGTGTTAGCTTACAATTTGTCAGCCATGTTTTAATGATGTAAATTTTGTTTACTATGAAGTGACCATCCTAATGATGGTTTAATTTTAAAGTCTCATCTTCATGTGAATTGAAGATTATGTGTCGGCATTGAAACACGTAGGAATAACAAGGCAGTACCAGGTAGACCTATATTTTACCTTTTTATAATTCACGCCAACCTTTTTACATTAATATACAACAAACAATAAAGTAATTACACTTAATTTTAACAAAAACCTACCATCTCAGAAAGAGAATGTGGCTTTTGCCTGTAGGAGAGTGATGGTTTACGAATTTTAAAAATGTACAGTATAAAAGTTACTAAAATTTGCTAAAAAACCTAAACTCAGGCAATCTAGTTGGGATTGACATGTGTTGGATATTTAAGTACAATATGTAAGATTTAAAAGGTTTTTATTTGCACATTACAAGGTATTTTATTTTATATTTCTGTAACCAAACAAATTATATATTTTTAGTTATTACTAGAGTTATTAGAATCGAGGTCAAGATTTTATTTTATTGTGAGCAATCCAATCCTTTGAGTTTTCATTTTCAATCCGCTCACCTGTAGAATTTGGACTTTGATCGGGTTGTTCCCCTCCCCTGACTGACAAGATAGTGAGCAGCGTCGGGTTAGATGTGCCTTGGACATGGTAGTGACCACGTCTTTCTCTCACCGCTCGTGTCGGGAAAATATTATCTTTTTTACTCTTTTACTCTTGTATAGTTAATGCCACTAAATTCAGTGTAATTATTGTGATCATCTCAACACCTCTTCCACTACACCATGAAGACTACCAGACTGATTGAGGGCCCTCACTTCGCAGCGACGTCTCAGCATGGAACTCTCTACTCATGATTTAATTGTACAGGTATTTTTAAATGGTCCTTCGGTTGCTAAAAATTACTCACAAACATTTAACTTAATTAACTAAATTAATTCTCCTACTGTCTTACCCAACAAGGAATTGAGAGTGTATGAGAAGAAGACACTTGGTTTGCGGCTGTGGAGGCAAACACTGACAATACTAGTAGCTGCAGTTCGGCGAACTACCGTGATATCACTACTCAGGTTGACCAACAAACTCTTCAAAAGATCCTGTACAACACAATGAATATAGGTTAGTTGTTATTCAAATTTATTGTTTAGTTTAAAATAATTATAACGTAAGTTCAATAGAGAAGGTATTACTCAGATAATCTAAATCAGTGGACACAGAAAACCAGAAGTTACTACACAGAAAATTCGTTTGATCTTCTATTACCCTTTTATGGGTTTTAATGTTAAGTAATGTCAATTAAAGTTTTCACTATAATTAATTCACCACCTGAGATTAAGCCACTCATTCCCAATAATTCTGGCAGGGGTGCTGTAACATCACCCATTATCTATTTTTATGACATCCCAAAACCAAGAAGGAATTTGCCAATGTATCAACTAAAAGCATTGTTGTTGAGATAGCAACCTAACCTGAAAGGGAAACACTCTGTTGTATTTCTCCTGGCCCAAGAAATACAAAATCTTTACAATGTACACAATAGTTACAATATTTCACTGTTTCAGATGGAATTTTAAATTAGTTCAAAGATATAAAGGTGTGGATACACCATGGCAAGGCTCGTTTTTCCAAAAGACAAATAAGTCTCAAGGCCAAAAAATTTAAATGTGGAGGTTTGATGTCAGGTAACTCAGTTATATAGTGTTTGTCCTCCAGATACACATATTTTGTCTAGTAGAAAGCCAGTCTAGTAATTTAATGGCCACAATTAAATTAAGGTACTTTATACAGTATTATTCTACTTTGAAAAAAAATCTGGTATGTCACCAGTTCATAGCCTACTATTATTTTTTCCTGTTTTCAGTCAGGTGTTAATAGATCTAACACTTGTGTAGAGACTGTAATCATAGATAAAACCATTATAAAACACACTCCCTTAGTAGATTTCTCATCCTTATGGAACAGCTGAAGGCTGAAGCCAATGTGATTGTTAGTTCTGTAAAGGTTGTGTTTTGTTTACAATTTGTTTCTTGTTATTCCAGTCAATTATATGATATGCAAGAAACTCGAAAGACTCGGTATAAGAAACTCTGCGCTAGAAAGGTTCAAAAGCTACCTAACGGGACGTTTACAAGACGCGGAACTGAAAAACTCATCAAATGAAGTCACAGAAAGTTTCAAATCTTCAAAAAGCAAGCTGACGAGAGGAGTTCCACAAGGCTCTGTATTAGGCCCGATTCTATTCATCTTATTGACTAATGACTTCCCCAAACAAATTGAGAGTGAAAATGCTGTTGCAATCATGTATGCAGATGACACAACCATTTTGATCAAGGACAACACAGCCCAAAGCCTTGACCTTAATTCAAAATCGATCTTAAATAAAGCTATCCTATACTCAAAGAACAACCACACAATCACTTAGCAATAAACCCCACAAAAACTACAACTCTGAATTTCAGTAAGAAAAAAGACATAGTCCCTCAATTAGAGGATGTAACAATAGAAAACCACACAAAATTTCTCGGTGTTATCCTTGATAACAAACTAACATGGAAAGAGCACATCAACCACCTAAGCAAAAAAATCAGTACTGGAATATATGTCGTCAGAAGAATAAACTACATAGGCGGACTCTCTGTGGCCAAAACAGCTTACTTCGCACTGGTAGAGTCGCATCTTAGATATGGCTTGACAGTGTGGGGAGGAACTTCAACAAAAAATATGAATTGAATTCTTGTCCTTCAAAAGAAAGCCATAAGAGCCCTCGCCAACCTTGTCCCACCACAGACTTGCAGATTAGCATTCGCAAACCTAGGAATCCTCACAGTGGTGTCTCTCTACATACTTGAAACCATAAAGTATGTGAATGAAATAAACCCCCCAAGAAACCAAGACCTGCACCACTACAACACCCGTCATGGCTCCAAATTTGAACTACCAGTTCACCGAACAACTCTTTGGGAGAAAAAAACCTTCCTACACCGGCTGCAAGCTGAGGAACCATCTACCTGACTACCTGAGAGACCTGACTGGCAACAAGCTACACCAGGAGTTGAAGAAGTGGCTAATCGCAAGACCCTTCTACTCAATAAAGGAATTTTATGAAAATTATGGAAATTAACATGTACAATTCACTATTGTATTGACACTATTGTAATTCTTAATGAATTAACAATAAAGAATATTGTATTGTATTGTATTGTAATTAAAACCTTGTTTATGAAATTAAATGAAATGTGTTTATTGTCTTGTTAATTGACAATGTCATAAAACTGCTAAAATTAGCATAGTCATTTAATGAATACAATATAGCTAACTACACACAAAGAGGCATGGTGCATTACATATTTTAAATATTACAACCAAATAATCTTATTTTTAAGAAAAATTCAAGGCATTTTGAATAATAGAAGTTATTAAACCCCATAACCAAGTAAATCCAACAGTAATTTGGTAAATTTACTAACTCTACTTAGAAATTAATAAAAGGCATTTCAAAAGAATCTTTTAAAGAATAAAAAGGGTTGTTCAAAAGCTATTTGTAGAATCTATAATATTAAAACGAAACAGTGTTTTTTTATTTCACGATTCTGAATCAACCACTCGACGGATTTTCATGATTTTTGTGTTGAAAGAAAGATAATTTTGAGAACTAGGGAATGTCGAAGCCATAATTTTAGTTAAGGGTCCCAGTTTTTTAGAAATTAAGTTTAAATTTTTAAAAAGTCTAGCAGCCGACGCTAAGATTCTAAACTAGCTGTTGGCATAAAATAATTTGCTTAACATAACAGCTGTAAGCATTCAGCTTTTGTGTCACAAATTCAGCATTTGGATAAAAATGTAAAGACATACTTAGGGTTGACTTATTTATATTATGTGTAATGCTAATCATTGATACGTTCAATTCTTCTGTAAGAGGATGACAGATTAATTAAATTATACATAGTAAAATACTAGGATGTTCAAATTATTTTTTAAAGCAATCTTTGTAATCTTCGATTTGTTTTAGAGCAATATAATTATTTGTTTTAACTAACAGCTGGTTAAATATAAACTATGGAACAATGAGGTTATTTTATTTACTCTTATTTTGTCATTGATTATAGGAAATAAGTAAGATTAGTAGAGATAATTAGACCACAGTTTAAAATAGTTTAGACCAAAATTAATTAAACCACAGTACAAATCGAGGCTCTGTACACGAGTCTTAATAAAAAAGGATAAATGCAAATTATTTTACTACTCCACTTTTCAAGGAAGGAATAGAAAAATAACAATGTTTACATATTGTTTTAATTCTTCATGGTAGCTTTTTGTTTACAATTAATGTTTGTCTGCTTTAACTTTGTTTGGATTAGGCCTGGAAATATTGATGTCATAAAAAGAAGATCAAGAATAATCAGGAATCACGATTTTTAAATTACCACCATAACCTCAGCCGGGTTTTATACAAAGATAAACAGATGGATGACATAGATTGAACACAACGTCAACATTGACCTAGGATACTGCAATTAGACAACCTCAGACAAACCCCATTAGACAAACCACCCTTTTATGAAATCGTGTTCAGTTGTGACGTAATCAAACGTGAAAATATCACTTTTATTTCAGCTATGAATATATTGTAGTTTAAATTAACTGATATGGGAAATTACGATGTACATTTATTCAATGAGGGTGGGTAATTATCAAGGATAGAACTGATAACAGTATGGATAATAAACATTGACAATTACGTCATTAGCTTTACTAGCATGTTTACTTTTTATATTCCTGCTACATGTGACCAGTTCTTTTTTTCAAATGAATGTTATTTGAACCAAACAGCTGTTTCAAAACAAACTGTTATTGTTTTTACTTTTTTTTATTTACGCTTATTTATTCAGCAATTAATGCAGTGAAATTGATATAAAGGATAGGTGTGACGATTAGTTTTGATGTTAGGACACCAAAGTTAAATTATGTGTACTATGAATTTTATTGGATATTATTGTTTTATTTTAGGTCGTTTCTATTCAGACCTACTGGAAATTGTGTATAGTAGTTGTATTGTGGCTATAATAATTATGGAAGAGGCAGGTATGCTATGGAAGGTGGTATCGTTGACTAGGTCTATACACTTCCCAATTGACTATTAACTCTCTCTACTGTAGGCTACTTAATCAGTCTGCGTCTGTGCGAATCGGCTGCAAATCTCACTTCAACGCTTTTCACACCGTAAAAATTGGAGAATTGCTGTTTTATTGTAAAATTATCGGATTTAAAATGCATATCGTATAAGCCTATGATGGAATAAAATCATATTTGGTCACACAACATTTGTTTACAAGATGATTTTTCACATTAAAACTGCAAGAAACTTTGTCTTTATATGTGTAAACTAGCTGATCTGAATTGTACACGGTTTTAACTGACTACTGAATTTCCGTACGTAGGACGGGCTAACACCTCGTTTAGATTTAAAAGTATTTTCAGAATATTTTGATATCAAATGTATTAGCTTGTTGTATATTTTTAGTGAGATTACAATATGGCTTGAGTTTTAGACAGTTAACAAAATCTATGGTAGCAATGTTTTTATTCCTTGTATTATGAACATGAGAATTTTGTTTGATAAGGTTGGGATTTTTTTAGAATGTATGATACAAAATCAAATACATAAATGTTAATTACTGTTGGAATTTGTAGCTAAATGAACCGGGGTTTACAGTGTTCCTGTAGGGGTTCACAAGATATGATTCTAACTAACTTCTTTTGTATGACTAAAAAAAAAACAAATAAAATCAAATAAAACGGTTTAATCATAAACAATAACTGGTCTTCTAGTTATATAACCAAACAGTAGAGCACAAATCATAAAAATAACCCTAAAATACTAGAAACAAAATGTTGTCTACACTAGCAATCACTAATCAGTGTCGACGTACATGAACTAGACAAAACAAGAACAAACAAGCTTCAAAATTTAAAATGGGATGAGTAGTCTACTTGTGTTGGTTGGTCTATGCTGTAATGTTGTACTAACCCTGATGTTGTTATCCGTTGTGAAGTTGCCCAGAGCAGACAGTATTCTAGGCAGGGATGCAGCTAGAGTCTCTAGCACAGGTTCCTCTCTACGTTTGGCAATCTCTATCAGGCTAGGCACTAGGTTCTGGATATAGGCCTTGCCTTTTTGGGGCCTGTAAGTGATAAACAAATATTTCATTTTGGGTGTTTGGATACTGTGCTGGTACCTAGTTATTAGATATTAGATCGGAAAAATGATTAGACAGATATTTTTAAAAGGTGAAATTCTGAACGCTTATAGAAGATGTAGAAAACATGACAACTATAAGACATGAAGATCTAGAACGTAATCTCCTCCACTGATGAATTGTGAAGCCGCTGTTAACTGGAACAGGACAACTAAGTTCCATCACAACTGCTGAAATATATTACTTTCTTCTGAGTTTTGCAGTCAGGCCACTTTATTGGACATTGCTTCACTAAACAAAAACTCTATGCTAAAAAAATTTGTTTACTAGCTAACATTTGTCAAAAACGTTATTTATATAGTATAAAAGATAGAGTCAGTAAAAGGTTAAATGTTACAAGTACCGGGTGTCCACAAAGTAATGCTCCCATTTTAAAGTCAAATATTTTTTTATTCATGGTTATACTTACATTATATACAAATACATCTCAAGACAGAGAATTTTCTCAAGATTTCTGCACATAAGAAAAGTTTGATGAGAGCTCCGTTCCTTGCTCGGCATAGATCAAATTGAAATTCTATCTCTTCCCACACTTTTGACAACATTAATGTCCGGAGTCACAGACCCAACAGCCTGGATCACTCTCTGCCTTAGGTGGACGACATCCCTGATTTTCTCAAAGTAAACAATGTTTTTAACGTATCCCGAAAACAAACTCACAAATTACGTAAACACAAAATGTGAATTTCTTCAACAGTGTCTTCGGAAACCCAAGGCCTTCCGTTTTCTTTTGAACATTTCTTGTTTCTTTAAATCTCTTTAACCAACGACAAATGGTAGCGGTGCACTGCCACCAAACAAATGGCGAAAATAACGTTGAACAGTAATAATTGAACGACTTTCAACCAGCCAAACTATACATTGTGCTTTCTGCTGAAGCGTCGCCATCGCTTCTGCGTAAAAACACGTGTAAATTTGTTAACAATACGTAATAACAAACAGTGCCACCAACTGCTTCACAATAAACAAAAATTTTTCTAAAACAAAACTTGGAGTTCTTAACAAAAAAATTATTATCAGTGTTCTGCGTCCAAATTTGTGGTTACAGGGATGCATTACTTTGTGGACACCCTGTATTATTCTAAATGGTGAATATTATTACAAGTTATGAATGCAACGAACACTCTTAATAAACACCTCTTAGTAACTAATTAATTCACAACCTAAAATATAATTCTTGGATGGTACAATTGTAATGTGATTTTTATATAACTATTGTCAAACAATGCTTTAGTGCAGTTTCAAAATAAATAATTATTTTGTTAACCGTCTCATAATCGACATAGTTTTCATTAAGAAATGTAAAAAAAGTAAACAAGAATGAAAGTCTTGAGAAAATATTACACTGATTCATTCAAGAATGTTTTAGAAAATAGTAAAGGTATATTGAATGACAACTTAACTTCCATCTATGTGGGACAAAATGATTTAAATTATAAAAATTAAGTAAAAAAAAAACAGAGCAAAAGTTAAAATGCATTAACTGGCCCAGACTAAAAATACTTTTTTTATACTTTTTAGTGAAATGGCGACCATACAAAGTAGGTATTTAAAGCCAAGTATGAATGGAGATGAGTGTAGGATGAGTGGCGCGATCTTGTAGTCTTGTTAGTGACTAAGGCCGACATATTCCATAGAAACAGCTGTTAATTAATTGCCCATACAGCTAATGACAACTAAGGGACCTACAGTTTATAGTGGAATCCGAACCACATTTTTGCCTTTGGTATATACGAATTGGTCTAATTATCAGGATAGTACTGCGGATAGTCGTAGTACTCACCCGTGCGGACGTTAATCCACACCAGGGAGTATCCCATCCACAGTGCATGCCTATAAATATCCACAATTCGTGACCTCCAAGTAGCTGGATTACAGGACGACGCCACCCGTTTCAGTCTTCTTAGGCCTAGTATTTAGTGAAGGCCTACATGTAAAATGTTAGTGTGTTATGTGTTCCCTTATGCTTTGTAAAAATCAATGCATCTTCATTTGACCAAAATAAAATTAATCGGAATATAATTTATTGGTGAATATAAAAGGAAATGTTTTGATAGAAGTTAAACAATTTTTTATCTTAGTAATGACAAAAAAACAAAACTATTTTTACTGCAATTGCAATAAAACCATCCACTACTGCAATCACATTACCAGATTCACCACTAGACGGGTATTTGTAATCCATTGCAAACAAAATCACAATCATTCACCTTATCATATGAGCCAGCTGAGCAAATCTCCAAAGTGCAGCACGCAAGGAGCGAACACTTCCATTCTTCTTAATCTCCTTGTGTAGCTCAACATGCACCTTGACTATGTTGTTGTCCATCATAGCCTGTGAAACAACATACAACATACGTATTTTTGTTTGGTTGTTTGTTGTGGGGCTGCTGAGTAACCATAGTGCTCGGATTCTCATCAGAAGGTTGCCAATTAGACCCAGCCCCAAAGCAGAACAACGAGCGACGCTGCGACATTGTCGCGGACACGAAACGCCGAGAAACGCGGGCCTGCGGACACATTTACGGAGTCATAACGACGATCGCGCCGTGGCCGCGATTATTGGACCGACGATCGCACCGTGACCGCGAGTCATAACGACGATCGGGCTGTGACTGTGGAGTCATACCGACAGTCACGCTTGACCGCGGAGTCATAACGACGATCGCGCCGTGACCGCGAAGTCCTACCGACGATCACGCTGTGACCACGAGTCATACCGACGATCACGCCGTGACCGCGAGTCATACCGACGATCGCGCCGTGACCGCGGAGTCCTACCGACGATCGCGCCGTTACCGCGGAGTCATTCTGACGATCATGCCATGATGGCGAGTCATACCGACGATCACGACGTGACCACGGAGTCCTACCGACGATCGCGCCGTGACCGCGAGTCATACCGACGATCGCGCCGTGACCGCGGAGTCCTACCGACGATCGCGCCGTGACCGCAGAGTCCTACCGACGATCGCGCCGTGACCGCAGAGTCCTACCGACGATCGCGCCGTGACCGCGGAGTCATACTGACGATCATGCCGTGACCGCGGAGTCATACCGACGATCGCGCCGTGACCGTGGAGTCAAACCGACGATCGCGCCGTGACCGTGGAGTCATACCGACGATAACCCCTTGACCGCGGAGTCATACCGACGATCGCACCGTGACCGCGAGTCATGACGACGATCGCGCCGTGACCGTGAGTTCTACAGACGATCACCCCGTGACCCGCGAGTCACAAGTTTCTATAGGTACTTGTAAATTGTTACCCATTTTTTTGTTTTTATAGATCAGTGCCACAAATGGTAAAAATTGATTTCGTATGTCTTTTTTGGTAACTGCAATACAGTACTTTTTTTATGCACAGAAAAAAATCCTGTCCCATCCCGTCCCGAAAATCGGGAAGGAAATAAAAATCCCGTCCCGTCCCGTCCCGAACTAAAATTTCAATCCCGTCCATCCCTAGTGTGTTTATATAAAGAAACTATAGTACATTTAAAGTTTTACTTCTGAAGACCTTGTTAACACTTGTTAAGGTATGTGTATATATATATATACGTATTTAAAAAAAAGTAAATTTAAATAACCTGATTATGCCTACCCCTTAATAGTGTTTTAGTTTTTTGTTTTAAAAGTAGGCTATACAAGTTATTGAAATTTACTTATTTTATTTAACTATATTACTAGTAGCCCTAAAGAGTGAATATATATATATATATATAGGCCTATACCGGTATATAAGTCATTATTTAGCTTTTTAGTTTTAGCGCTTGCGGACACATTTTGAGGTTTTCACAGGCCGTTGCAGACACGTAGGAACCATTCTGCTTTGGGGAGACCCAGAGAAAAGTCACAAATCTTTATATCACTTATTTTATAGTTGATAGTTGACAATTGATTTAAATTATTCACTAGCCGTTCTCCATCGGCATTGCTCAACATAATTTCGTGTTTTATTAACTACAATGAACCCACTGAAGCCCTGACTTCACTACAGGCTAACATGACCTTTTGTATTAATTTTCTATCTAATAAGAGTTATAAGAATTAAATCCATTTATATACAGGATGAAAAAATGATCTATTTTCTGCAGCGCATTGTTTAGAGACAGGTCTGAGGGTGGTGGGGGTAGGCTCGTTGGCGATTCTACACGATGCCATTATTTGTAGTCATAGAGCATTGGTCACCTAGCAACGTGCAATTTTTATCGAGTCATTTTAAAATAGTAATGATTCAGTCATTGCAACTCAGCGGCATTTCCATGCATTCTGTAAACTAAGTTGACATGGAGACTTGGAGAGGTTCCGTCCCGATTATCTGTATGGATAGGAATTAAGATCGGACCTCAAAGTTAGTGTAACCGAGTGGTCAGCCATGTTCAGAGCAGATGTTTGTTTTCAGGCGGGCCTACGAGGACTGTTTTCCACAGCAGCCCGAGCTCTAGTTAGTTGTCTTGAGTCCGATCTGACTTTGGACGGCCTGTCAACTTCTTTTTGAACGCAGAAGCCATTGTTCTAAAGTTATTAACCCACCCACATGATAGTGCTACTTGACAGAATTTGGTTGTCCAGATTAAAAGAATGCACGGAACTGCCGCTGAGTTGCAATGACTGAATCATTACTTTTTAATTCAACTTGATAACAAACCAACGTTGCTCAGGTGACCAATGCTCTATGATCTAAGATAATGGCATCGTGTAGACTTTCCAACAAGCCTAACTCCACCACTCTCAGACGAATTGTCGCTGAACAGTGCGCTGCAAAAAAAAAATAGATCGGTTTTCCGCAACCTGTATAATTACCAAAGTTAAGTACCTAAACAAACATGACTACCCAAGTTAAACTAAGCGAGAACTTCTTCAACCGTAACATCTACTCTCTTGTTACACCAGGAAATTTGAACTACTCGTTATTTAACAACATATAGCCTAAACCCTTATTTTTGTGAAAAGCTTTTTCTGGTGCATCTAAAACACATTTCTTAGATACACTAATTACTTTTAAATGTTTCTTTTGCATAGCACAGGCGAACGTCACATTGATTTCTTATGGTTTATTTTAGTATTTTTTTAATGACTCAGAAATTATTAATGCGAATTGATTGAAAATATTTTTTTTGGGGACTTAGGAGATGAGAAAATTGTGAACTATTAAATCCAGACAGCACCAACACAGTATGATCAAATGTTTCATAACATTTGTTTTATTACATATTTTAGACAGTATTTTATAATAATATTATTGTTTGAAAGAAAACCAAAATCATTTTGAAATCATAAAAATGTATGCGTTATTTTGTTAACCTCCTACAAAAATTAAAGACCACCGAGCAATGCTCGGTTCCCTGGTACTTTTATTTTGAGTAAGGTTCATTGAGTGAGACAAATATCAAGACAATTTTACAAATGAGTTTGAGGTCTATAAATTAATATTGTGTGACAACACCAGTAACAAGGCCTATTTGAGGACACAACAAATGTTGTACCTATTAGAAGTGAATTTACTGTAGGCCTATGGGCTAAGTTATCAATCATTGCCCCGATAAATCCAAGGTTGTCCAAAATACAATCTCATACAATGTAAAAATTCAATTGGTACAATGGAAGCTCAACTTTGTTAAATCTATAATATTATGCTACTTCTATCACCTTTTAGTACAGATATTATTGGTGATGATTTAACAGCAAAGTTTACTCACCCTGATGATCCTATTGAGGCTTTCATCAGCCACCAAACGAATGTTAGAATCTGAATCATCACAGAGTTGCAACAGCGTCTCCATGGAGAATGACAGTAACGACGGAAAGTTTGCAGCCCCTTTGACATTTGGAGAACACATGGTATCTGCTACAAAATTGCATAATTCTACTTTCTTCTTCCTTCTGTAACAAAATTGCACACGGGGTTTAGAGATTGTTTATGCTTAGAAAACATTATTTTAACATGTTCGCTACTGCAATAGTAGGCTACAACATTTTTCATTTACATGGACCAGCGACACACATATACGACGGCTGGTTTCTACCCATAGACCGACGTCGCATATGCAAGGGCTAGTCACATTAAAATGGACTGCCGTCGCATATTTGCGTCGGGGTTCTAATGTTATTAAAATGCTTATATCTTTGTAACAGTCTATTAGAAGGCACTGAATTCCCTTCAGTGGTCTACAGAGATGTCTGACGCACAACTGTGTCGCTTGGTCTGTGGATATTATGATTGGTGACGTCATATGATAGTTGGAAAAACTGGTCTTTACTTTTCTGTATCACTGTATGTAGGTATGCAGTATGTATCCAATCCTACTGTACCAACATTAGGCCTATACCAACATTATCCTGTTGCTTTTATATTTGCTCAGTTATAGGCTAATCTGTTCTTGAATAATCTGTTTTTTTACTTACTTTCACTTCAAAACACAAACAAAAATGAACTGTTGCATATATGTGGCGTTTAGGCTATTTCAAGAAAACTATGATAATTTTCACTAGTTAGGTATTGTCTTCGCTGAAGACCGGGCGTCGCAAATATGTGACATTGCCAAAGGTTATGAAAAAAAAAAGAATAAATTATTTATAAACACGATTGCAGCGTATTACAATGTAAATGATCACTGTTTTACAGGTTTTCGCCTGTGGTCTATGTGTAGTGCACTGTTAACCAAGTGACAGCTGGTCTATGTGTAAGATTCAAATGTATACCTCGGTCTATGGCAATGACCGCGGTGCGACGCTCAGTAGCGAACGTGTTAAGATAAATATTTTATTGAAAGTTAGGCCTAAATTACCTAGAAGTTTAATTTATTGCCCTCAACTATTTTTAATTGTTATTTATATGATTATAGCCTAACCAAAAAACTTTTCTTAAATCGACGTGAGGGGCTCTTCCATAATCCCCCACTTCTTTGCAGAAAAGGTTCTTATCGGGTCCGGACCAGAAAAATGAGACGCTTTTAGAAATGGAAATAACAAACATGTAAACAAACATTGCTCATATGCTCCAATATAAATTAGTGCAACAACTGTATCCAGAATGACGATATCATTGTTTATACAGTGGAACCTTGATAAGAAGGCCCTCTATTAACAAGTCATCCTTGTCATATTATTATAGAAGGACGGGACGAAGTTACTTAACCCGTGTTCAGTCTACCTACAACCGCTGCCGTGACGTGTCGATAGCGCTATCGTGTTATTACGTGTTTAAATGTTTCGTGTTCCGTGTTTTGTTTTATGTATAAATCATTTGATGTTTTTGACAAAAAGCTCTGACGATGTTGCAGTGCAACGAAACATGTAAGCTTTGAACAACATTAGTTGAAAAAGACACAATTTTGGACTACTGACGGAGGTAAGCCTATATAAGTCATCTTTGTCATTTTCAAATCCCCTTGAATTTATTTTACCCCAAATCACATGTTATTGCAAACCTCAATAACGAGTCTAGCTTGATAACAAGTCTCATTTAAAAATAACTATGAGAGTCTTGTTATCAAGGTTCTACTGTAATAAGCTATTCATCTATCTATTTGTTTATAACTTATTTCGTATCACTGCGGCCTTGTTTTAGTGGAGGCTATGGCTCCTGATGAATGATGCTATCTGACAAAAGGTCAACGTTTGACAGTAACAATTCCTGAGTTTTATCTCATCCCAACAAAATAAAATACAAACCCACATCTTTCAAATGTGTTCTCTGGTAATGTTAAAGGCCTTACAGTAGGGTTTTCCTTGCTGTTAAGACTTACCTTACAAGTGTTTCATCTTCTATAGTTGATGGAGGTTCTTTACTTATTTTAAGAGCTTCCAAAGCTTTGACAAGTTTGTCAAGAGTTCCCATTGTTGAAGGTAAAGGACCTACACTCACTCTTAGAGACTCAATAGGACTAGGGCCTACTGAGGTTTAAATTTTTAACTACCTAGGCCTAAACATTATCCATCAAATGAATAAATCTTAACAATGTAATGAGCCAAAATTTTTTAGTGAACATAAATGAAATCCTATCAGGTGTATAAATCGCGAGACAGATAAGTGAACATCAGTTTAGCACAGAAATTCCACTAGCCTAGGAGTAAAAGTATTAACAACACTGCTTCTGCTCTGCAGTGCAGACAGCTCATCTCATACTAAAATGGCATAACCAAAACCAACCATACAAACTACAACAAACGTATGAACTAGAGATGTGTCGCTGCAGCTGGAACTACATTTATCCACCGTTCCGAGAGTGGAACTCGTTCCACCGTTCCAAGCGGAACCACAATCCAGTTCCAGTTCCACTGGAACTACTTTTTCAGCTGCAGCTCGGTGGAACGATTTGAATGTAGTTCCGCACAAACAGCTGCAGCCTTTTTGTAAATTTTTAAAGATAAGTTCCGGAGTAACTGGATTTGTAAACACATACAGTTACAACAAAACAGCTGCAGCTGGTTTATTAATACTCTCACTAAACATTAAGTTCTAGCCTGTGCAGCTGATGCGTTTTGACTTATTTGGTCTATTGTAAACAAAGGTTTGATTAGCGGATATGGTTGACATGCCTTAAAAGAAATGAATCATTTTCTATTTTTTTAGGCAGGATTAAATAAAAGTACATCAGTCCCAGTTAAGTCGTGCTCATAATATATACAAATTTAATTATCTCTTCCTCAGTAATCAGTACCGTAATAATTGTTTGTGTTTAACTTAATTCAGGATTTTTTCGCTATTAACTTTAGAATTTTATATTAAGAATTAGTGTAAGTGGTGTTTGAATAATATTATTTTAACAATAAAAAAATGTATAATAAGAATAAATGCATAATATGAAGAACCTCTAAAATAATTTACACCGGCCTTGTCACGTATTATTTTTAGACCCTAGATAGACAAACTAAAATAATTAATTACTAGTATAACATTTCCAAAACACGATATTGATTTCTTTTCAGCTGCTATTTTGCATTATTTCAATCAATATTCTAATTCAAGAACAGCTTAAACTAATCCGTCTCAAATTATTATGGCAATAAACTGAGTTATTCATCCGCCCTTTTGCCTCGTTTACTACAGCCATAGCTCCGCTGCAGCGGGAAAACCAGCTGCAGCGGGCAAAACCAGCTGCAGCTGGAACTGCTTTTGGAACGAGTTCCACGGCGACCTTGGAACTAGCTGCAGCTGTTTCGCCCAAGTAACTGCTTGGCACAACTCGAGTATGAACGTATGACTATGATGACTGACATGACGACAAGACTTAAATACAGGCACAGAAACAAAATGACATAGTATCATGTAACCCTAAAATTACTGAGAAGTACCAAATTGACTCACGGCCACCTTTTTTGTTCGCGGTGTTCAGTACAGTGAAACCATAGATAAAACATAGTACGGTGAAACCATAGATTAAGACCATAGCATGGATGAAGTATTATATTGGTTCATCTATGGCCAAAGATAAAACCGTAGAAAAAAAAATAATTATTTTTTTCTATGATAAAACACGCTCTCTTAGTAGATTTCTCATACCATAGATAAAACATACTCCCTTAGTTGGTTAGTCTATGCTCATACTCATGGAACATCTGAAGCCAATTCTATTGTTAGTTCTGTTCGGTACGATCGTGAAGACAGCTATCGCCAGCTGTCGACGTTGGTCGACCCTACATTTCCCCCCCTCCCACAACGATTTCCCCTCTTCGCCCTCTCGACCAATCAGATACCGCCTAGGTTTGAGCAGTACAGTCGATGCACAAAAAAAAGACCTCGCATTTGAATTTACCTTCTATGGATAATTAATAGTTTTCCGAACTAAAACTAATAACTGTGCATATGTAATATAGCACATATACGCACCAACAAGTATAAATAAATCGAAACATATAAATTTTAACATATATATTAAACACACACATATATATATAGAGCCTATATATGTTCTCAGCATACAAGGAGTGTTTTGACGTACTTGAAACTATGTTGAAACAATATTCGACCAAATATAATTGCTTTAAATACATGTTAAAGAATTATTAAAAACCATATATAATATATTTAAGTTAATTTCAGCCTGAAGTCCAGCTAACGAATTAGCACTCAGCGTAATAAAAAAGTTCGGACAAATATTTACCTATGTTGTGACGATATTCCCCAAGATTTTATCATTTTAAATTAAAGTATACACTTGAATGTACCACATATTAAAAAATCATTATAATCTAAACATATATATTTAGGTTAATTTTAGCTTAAATTGCAGCTAACGAACTTGTTCTCAGCGTACTTATAATGTTCGGACGAACATTTACCTATGTTGTGACGATATTCCCCAAACTTTTATCATTTTAAATTGAAGTATATATTTGTATGTACAACATATTAAAAAATCATTAAAATCTAAACATATATATGTAGGTAAATTTTAGCCTAAAGTCTAGCTAACGAATTTGCGCTCAGCGTACTAAGAATGTTCGGACAAACATTTACCTATGTTGTGACGATATTCCCCAAAATTTTATCATTTTAATTTGAAGTATACACTTGAATGTACAACATATTAAAAAATCATTAAAATCTAAACATATATATTTAGGTTAATTTTAGCTTAAAGTCCAGCTAACGAACTTGTTCTCAGCGTACTAATAATGTTCGGACGAACATTTACCTATGTTGTGAGGATATTCCCCAAAATTTTATCATTTAAAATTAAAGTATACACTTGGATGTACAACATATTAAAAAATCATTAAAATCTAAACATATATATTTAGGTTAATTTTAGCTTAAAATCCAGCTAACGAATTGGCGCTCAGCGTACTAAGAATGTTCGGACAAACATTTACCTATGTTGTGACGGTATTCCCCAAAATTTTATCATTTTAAATTAAAGTATACACTTGAATGTACAACATATTAAAAAATCATTCAATTCTAGACATAAATATTTAGGTTAATTTAAGCTTAAAGTCCAGCTAACGAATTAGCGCTCAGCGTACTAAGAATGTTCGGACAAACATTTACCTATGTTGTGATTGTATTCCCCAAAATTTTATCATTTTAAATTAAATTATACAATTGAATGTACAACATATTAAAAATCATTAAAATCTAGACATATATATTTAGGTTAATTTTAGCTTAAAGTCCAGCTAACGAATTAGCGTTCAGCGTACTAATAATGTTCGGACGAACATTTACTTATGTTGTGACGATATTCCCCAAAATTTTATCATTTTAATTTGAAGTATACACTTGAATGTACAACATATAAAAAAATCATTCAATTCTAGACATATATATTTAGGTTAATTTTAGCTTAAAGTCCAGCTAACGAATTAGCGCTCAGCGTACTAAGAATGTTCGGACGAACATTTACCTATGTTGTGACAGTATTCCCCAAAATTTTATCATTTTAAATTAAAGTATACACTTGAATGTACAACATATTAAAAAATCATTCAAGTCTAGACATATATATTTAGGTTAATTTTAGCTTAAAGTCCAGCTAACGAATTAGAGCTCAGCGTACTAAGAATGTTCGGACGAACATTTACCTATGTTGTGACGATATTCCCCAAAATTTTATCATTTTACTTTGAAGTATACACTTGAATGTACAACATATTAAAAAATCATTCAATTCTAGACATATATATTTAGGTTAATTTTAGCTTAAAGTCCACCTAACGAATTAGCGCTCAGCGTACTAAGAATTTTCGAACGAACATTTACCTATGTTGTGACGGTATTCCCCAAAATTTTATCATTTTAAATTAAAGTATACACTTAGATGTACAACATATTAAAAAATCATTAAAATCTAGACATATATATTTAGGTTAATTTTAGCTTAAAGTCCAGCTAACGAATTAGCGCTCAGCGTACTAAGAATGTTCGGACGAACATTTACCTATGTTGATACGATATTCCCCGAAATTTTATCATTTTAAATTGAAGTTTACACTTGAATGTACAACATATTAAAAAATCATTAATATCTAAAAATATATATTTAGGTTAATTTTACCCTAAAGTCTAGCTAACGAATTTGCGCTCAGCGTACTAAGAATGTTCGGACAAACATTTACCTATGTTGTGACGATATTCCCCAAAATTTTATCATTTTAATTTGAAGTATACACTTGAATGTACAACATATTAAAAAATCATTAAAATCTAAACATATATATTTAGGTTAATTTTAGCTTAAAGTCCAGCTTACGAACTTGTTCTCAGCGGACTAATAATGTTCGGACGAACATTTACCTATGTTGTGAGGATATTCCCTAAAATTTTATCATTTAAAATTAAAGTATACACTTGGATGTACAACATATTAAAAAATCATTAAAATCTAAACATATATATTTAGGTTAATTTTAGCTTAAAGTCCAGCTAACGAATTAGCGCTCAGCGTACTAAGAATGTTCGGACAAACATTTACCTATGTTGTGACGATATTCCCCAAGATTTTATCATTTTAAATTAAAATATACACTTGAATGTACAACATATTAAAAAATCATTCAATTCTAGACATATATATTTAGGTTAATTTTAGCTTAAAGTCTAGCTAACTATTTATAAATAGTATTTAAACTAAAATAAAACTATAGAATTGAATGTATAACATTCAATATATTATATTATTATAGGATCATTACAGGAAAACAATTTAGATGGACGACACATATATTTAATTATACATTTTTATTTATAGAATAATGTGTTTTATGTAGGTACTATTTATTCCTGAATTCCGGCGGATATGGATTTCGGTGGCAGCCATCTTGGCCAGGGTCGTCAATTCGGTTCCTATAATTGAGAAAAAAGAATATGTTGTTTAAATACAGAACAATAAGAATGTTGTTTAAATACAGTGATAGATTTCATATTACACCATGAATATTATTGACTAATGATTTTCAATGAGACATTTTTATCCATCAATTGATCAATAACGGATTTGGCCTATAAAAACATATAAACTCCACATTATACAAATACACCTGCGCAATCATGATAAGTTGCTATTAACCTTGGTTCAGTAAAGCGGTGTTTACACTGTCGTGGGTCCACGGCTAAAGTCAGGCGTGGCGGTGAAAAGTTGTGTCAATTTCTTGAGACGCGTGGCCACGGCTTGTGTAAACAGTAGAGACGTGGGAGCAACAGACGTGGCAACACAATACGCCTGTTCCCCACGCCTTTTAAATTAACCAAAACGTGTTTGGTGGCTTCAGTTGGAGGCGTGGCCACAAGTTGAATCAATTGAAACGGTGAAAACAAAGCATCCTTTAAAATTAACGGAAGGTCAAACAAATCGAATGCTTAAACTGTATCAAAGTTAACCTTGTTTATTTCATATAAATATTGAAAGCTACAGCTTGGTTCCTTTTTGTTAATCGCGCTATTTCTTGAGCTAAAATAACACTCATTGCTGCAAAACCCTCAATAATTAATTTTTAGGCACAATCTATAACGTACCCGTAAATAAAAATGAACACGCCTTTAATGAATACGCTTCTACCAGAAAACTGTTTACACTACACGACTACTTGTGGCCGTGGTACGGTACCGTGGCGCCAAGGCATTTGCGTTGTCCATTGGCGTGGACACCACGCCTGTTTACGGACGTGGTAATACGGCAGTGTAAACACCGCTTTAAACAATGTATAATTTAAAATAATAGCCAACTGAAACGTTTACACAAACAAACATTGTTCAGCAACAAATTACGTATACAATACAACAATACTGCCGTAGTCTTGTAGTCATTGGCGACTGCTACGTTATTTTTTAAGACTGAATAATCTTGATAAAACATTAGATACCAATTAATAATTCATTAATAAATTGATCAAGATATAGGATAACTAATAATGCTCACAACTCGAGTTGCACATTATATTTTTTCAACAGGTACCATAAAACAAATAAATTGGTAAAGGAACGTGACATATTTTTACACAGAAGTGCACTTTTAATATGACATCTAATGATACAACAGTACAGCAGCTGACCAGCTCATTTACAGCCAGTGCTGCCAACGTATTTCGCGCCCAAAAGTCCTATAGTATACGCAAGAATTGAGAGTTTTAACGTAGAAAGAGCTAAAGATCACCTACAGTGATTACTTTGCAACATAGCCGGCGCTAGGAGCCGGCCGAGCTCCTAGCGCCAACACCGCGCCAAGCGATTTTATGCCTATTTTTAATCGCTTGAAAATGATACAATCAGACTCCCTATCAAAAAAGCTTCGAATAAAAAATAAGAAGAAGGGAAATAAAACTAGAAAGATGACTAAACTGAAAAGTAATAGTTTTGATACCGGTATGTGTTCTATCATTAGTGGGAATGATGAAGAAGTTGAAGAAAAATGGGTAAAACGACCTGTAAAAAAACCAGCCACATACTTCACAATGAAATTCCCAGAAACCGCGCGGAATGAAGTTGCAGTTAAACAGACGGAAAAGAAAAATATTTATGCGAGAAATATAATGGAAAGCACAGCTATTGAGCTTATAGAAGATCAAACTGAACAGATGGCCCAAAGATTATTGGTTAAGGATGAAATACAGGAAGGACAACGCATGGAAACGTATTGTAATGAAATATATGAGAAATGCCAAATACATGTAAAAGATAATCTGAATCAAACTAAGCAAGGATGGGAAAATGTGAGAGATTGCGACTCAGACGTTAGAAAATCCAATAGAATTGTCAAGTATGGTCCGCTGCAACTTGAACTTGAACCCAATGACTACGAGTCTCTCCGAGGAAGCAACTGGGTGACAGGCGCAGCAATAGACGCAGTGGCAGAAACTTTATTACGTTTCAAGGCGAATTGCACATACGTTTACGTCAGTTTTGATATAGCGACAAGAATATTTCATGGAGAGAAAATATACGACGCCTCTTGCATTAACATTGACGACTTCAATCACAGTCAGTATGTGCTGCTTCCGTACTCCACAGCAATGATGGACTCACATTGGTGCTTGGTTGTAGTTGACTTAAAAAACAAGTTTGTTTATAATTTCGATTCGTTGGACTCAAAATGACGAAATAATAATAACATTCTTGGAAGAGTACTTAAGTTTCTGGACAGTGTGAATCTTATGTCTGAAGTGGGTGCAAAAATCGATCTGATAGACTGGACTGACAAATCTGATACAATAACATACCCAAAACAAAATGACGATTACAACTGTGGAATCTTTGTCATATATTACATGATGAAAACTGTTGAAATGGGATTAGAGAGTAATAAGCCATTTGAAGAATTTGATACACACGAGTTATAATATTGATAGCTTACTATAAAATAAATAAATTTGCCAAGTTTGATCAAAATATATCCATAAACAAGCAAACTACAACATTTTACAATATTCTCCATAAGAATAACATGGGAATTTTAAATTTACAATTTTTTTAGTTTTCTCCGTAACCAATAACCGTACAAAAACACTTTGATATACTGAATTGTTTGTTTTTTTAAGCTCTTTAAGAAGGTTTGGAGAAAAATTGGGAAATTTTGTGTTTTGAGGGTAAAAAGTGAGAAAAACCAATTTTTACCCCATAAAACCCCCCATAAAACCCTGTTCCCATGGTCCGATCATGCTGGATCGCGAACTCATTCAAGTTTATCCCGCCTTACACCTTCAAACCAAATTTCATCAAAATCGGATAAAAATTACTCAAGTTATCGTGTTCACGGACACATATATATATATATAAATCTATATATATATATATATCTATATATATATATATATATACATATATAAAAATTTTAACGAATGGTGTTTTTGGCCTCTGGGGACATTAAAATGAAAAAGTAAATCGGTCCCGGGCCTAAGTCTTACCATGAGACCTACGGTAATAGCTACTTCCCTATAGGGAAATTCGCTAAAACTAAGAAAACTTTAAGTATTAGTTTGTAGATACATTTATGATCATGAAGATCAATAGAATCAAGGGAAAAGGTGACTTGCTTTACTTGTTAGGCAGGATGTCAGACTCTGTAGGTGATGTGTTTTGTTGAAGAAACCTGCGAAGTATGAGATCATAGAAGCCCAGTGTGGTGGTGGTGGTGTTGCAATGGGAGGGAGAGTGTTGCTCAGGCAGGGACATCTTCCCTTCCTCCTCCCAAGCTGCTACACGGTTGGACCCAAACAGACTCTTCAACAGCTGCAAAATACAACAAATAAAATATTTATCACCTATAGGAACTGGAAACATTATCAAAATGAGGATATTCACATTGGGTTTTCTCAAGCATGACTATTCGTGATTACACTGTCATCACAACAGACTCACAATTAATTTCAAACCTGTGATACTCTCTTTACTTAATCTTACTTTTCTCTCTATCCTGATATTGGGACTAAAATCTGACATTGTAAAGTGTAGACTATACTGTACATCAAATCTCAACTAGATGAAATCTGAAAGTTGTGATTTATAAGGTGGAAATAAGTGTGTGCCTTAAAATACATAATAAAGTATACCGTTTATAAATTATTTAAAAAGAGTTTTTAAAACCAGAAAATCCAATAAAGCTTTTCTTGGCATCTTGAACATAACAATTGAAAAAGATTTACATTTAAAATAAATAACTTTATCATTCCCGGCCTTGCATACAAGAAGGGCAATATTTACCTGTTGCACCGTAGCAACACTTGCGGTTGGTTCCAATGAAACAACAACTCGTAAATATAGCAAGAGTTCCTCAGCACACCTGCCTGTCTCAGCCAGGGTTGAGAATTCCAAGACTTGACTGATACAAAGTAGTACTGAGCCTAGCAGTCCTGCCATCTTGTCACCACATTCCAGCTGCGTCTGCACACAACAACAACAACAACAATTGAAAGTGTCGCAATGAAGATTGCACGGTAAAAAACTCACGATGTTATAGCAATTAAGGGAGATGATGATGATGTCCCCGCGACCGCAAGAGACATGTACAAATAAGCCACATAGTGTGAGTTGATGATTATCATATAGCTTATTAAAACATTTTTATTAGCTCGCTTTCTTGTCCGGTACAAACTTTGCAATCAATTTTATACTAACTTTCCGATGAGCTAGAGACTTGAAACTTGAAACGTAGCTCACAAATGGAAGACAATGCAATATTATATCATTTAATTTTCATATTTCCCTTGGGCTACGCCCCATGGGCGTGTTTTTATTAACTCGCTTTCTTGCAAATTTTGATACTTCCCGATGAGCTAGAGACTTGAAACTTGAAACATAGCTCACAAATAGATGACAACGCAATATTATATCATGTAATTTTCATATTTCCCTTGGGCTACGCCCCATGGGCTTGTTTTTATTAGCTCGCTTTCCTACAAATCTTGATATCAATTTTAAACGAAGTTCCCGATGAGCTAGAGACTTGAAATTTGAAACATAGCTCACAAATGGATGACAATGCAATATTATAGCATTTAATTTTCATATTTCCCTTGGGCTACGCCCCATGGGCTTCCAAATTTTCCATGTTTACATTTTGAAAGAATGTAAATATATCAATTAATTTAAGTCAGATGTAAATACTTAAATTTGACAGTTCGAAGAGCAGAGGTTAAGAGGTACAGGTTATGCTCCCATACAAACATTTCAAAATAAAGATGAAAAATCTGATTGCAGATTTAAAGGTGTATGATACCAATGTATTTATTTTATTAAGTAAACAATAAATTAAATAGATTGATATATTTATAGTTAGTAGGTAGGCCATACATTCAATCTAATACATAATTATATGAAGAGAACCTCAAATAAACCTTAGATTTCCCACATGCCTCTGTCTTAATCTGGTATAGATGCTTGACATATATTTAACATCCACACACATTAAAAATTAAAAAGTAGAAAATAATGTATAAATAAAAAACTTTTTTATAGCAAAACGTTTTTAAACACACTAAAAAGTAGAAAGTAATTTATAAATATGTAGAGAGTATAAATACCTGTAAGATTTAAAACGAAAAACGTGGGATGCATGCAATTGATAATAATACATTATTTCAATAGGTGAAGGTAATTGTAAATTATCTATTGCATGCACCCCACGTTTTTTGTTTTAAATATTACAGGTATTTATACTCTCTACATATTTATAAATTATTTTCTACTTTTTAGTGCGTTTAAAAACGTTTTGCTATAAAAAAGTTTGTTATTTATACATTATTTATACAATAGCTTGGCTCAAAAAAAGCTGGAGGCCAGACTCAGAAAAGCTTAAGTTTGCACACCTCGCAATCTCTTATTACTTTGCACATCGAGGACAAGTTCATTATCAGGATTTTTTCCCTTAGGAAGCTAGGCACGATCCCGGAATCGTTTTTTACATTACTCGTTCACATCATTAGTTTTTCATTACCTAGGCGTTGCGGCATTATCATATCTATGTACGGTATTGATTTTTGACTGTTGAAATTAATAGATACATAAATCACTTAGATAAAATGCATTGGTGATTTGGCAAGATTTGAACCCGGACCTCAGAAAGTCCCACACTCTACCACTTGACCAACTCGCTCATTATCAGGATTGTACCTGAGTACAATATTAACTTATCTTGACTCTTATTCTTATTTTTCATAACTTATGAAATACTTGATGTTGGCTCAATTTCCATAATATGGTAGACATAACTTAACAAGAAATGTTTTATTTGCTTAACCAATTTTGTTGGTTGAATCTCAAATTTACCCTTTCTTAGAAATTGGTCTAAATTGTACAATTGCCATAAGACACATCAGTATTTTTTAAGGTTTTTATGAGATGACACACATTGTGTGGCTGTAGCATTATATGATTTTTACCATTCTATTTAAAGAATACAATGATTAAGATACTTGTAATTGGTACCTTGTGATTGGTATAAGCAGATCGTAGGTTATCAAAAAGTTTGCTGTAGTGAGGAAGATGGGTGAAATTACCAAACTTTCCTTTCTCTTCCTTCCCAGCGTCTTTCTCACCTACAAATGTGAAGAGAACAATCATGTAAAAAATACCACAACAGTCATACAGTGATATCACTTTAAAAACTACATTATCAGTCATGTACAAATAGAGTTATAATAAGTTAATTAATACAGACTCCTGATATATTCAAAAAAGTTACACTTGTTGATTTAATAATTTAAACTTTTTAAATTTTGTTAAAGATTTTAAATAAACTTGATAAAACTATCCAAGGTGAATAAGTCTAATACCATGTTGGTCTTGTCTTACTAAAACTTATTGCAGACAAGGGTGCAGAAACTAAATACTTTATATTAATATTAAACTCTACCTGGAACAAAAAAAAAATGTTAACAAAAAGACAACATATTCAGGACCTAAACAACCAAATTCAGATCCTGCTACATTTAATGCATTGAACAAACGCTATGGGTATAGTAGCTTGTTCTTGAGGTACCTGTAGAGGGGGTGAGCTTGGCTGGGGAGGAGGAGCGTGTAGGTCGCCGCTTGACTGGTGATGGGTTGGTGTTCTTAGGTCCAGGAGCTTCCTCCAGAACTCTCACAAACACACACAACATACGCACAAGGTGTTGCAGAAGTGACTCACTTAAGCCAGCCATCTACAACAAACAAATAGCGTTCCCAAACATTGAGGCATTTCAACATTTTGGTTATTTACACAAAAGAACCTTTATCAACCAAAATAAAGGGGGGGGGTTTGTTTCTGATGACCAAGATTTTGGTAAAAATGAAGGCTGTTTATTCAGGATTTAAAATGGTAAGAATAAGATAATAACAATAATATAACTCTAAAGCACATGTTAAGGTTACCGGTTTACACTTTCAATCCAAACCAAAGTCTAACAACATACACTTATTGTTACCTATTATATATGTAGGCCTATATGAAGAGCAATTATTCATTTTGAAATACAGTATGTTTTCTAGGAGCAAAATCTTGCCATCGCTTCATTGGTAACATGTCAGACGTTGTAAATCACTTTGTAGTTAGTTTGAATTGTGTAGCAGTCAACAAAAAATCCCCAACCCCAATTATCCACCCTTCGTCTGTCAGTCAATTATTTTCTCTTTCTTTGTCTAAGACACATTGAGGTGGTTTTATATTCTTATTTCTATTGGTATTGATAAGCATTTCAGTTCATAAGTGTTTTGGTTTATGGATGATCTCCTATAATATTGCATGACGAAAATACCTAATAAGTTTAACCAGAATAATATTTACTTTGGACATATCAAATCCAGGTAAACTTTTATCAAAGATTGGTTGTAATCAATCATAAAAGGCAATGTTCAAGTGACTGATTAACAATCTTTTTCAGCTTACAAAAGCTAGCCAAACACCGTATTTGTATTTATAACCACAACATGTGTATTATAATAACTGATTGGGCAGCCTAGTTAGAGTGGGTAGGGCTGGTGCTTATCATAAAATCCAAAGATTGCTGGTTTGATCATAAGGAGAAACAATTGTGGACCTCGTTGCAATTATTTTGTCATTGGATTTTTTTGCTTTCTAACAGCATGTCACCTTAGGATGGTAAGAACCAGGATTTAGACTTATACCTAAATAAACAGAACAATTTTAATGGTGTGGCTGAAAATCAAAATGCTCACTATTTACCAACTTGAAACTATCATCAAAAGAAGAACCAAATTTATACAGTGCTGTAAGCTGTATTTTTCAGAACTGTCTTGTTTACCTTTGGGTCTTGAAAGTGACTCCACAACTGTTTGTTTTCCATTTTCTCATTTAATTCTTTTTCTTTTAATCCCATGGTTGCTAATCCTGTGGAATAAACAAAACAATAGATACATTTTGGATAAACAAAGCAATAGATTCGTAGCTCAAATTAGCATCAGACAGCATTTTGTCAATATCAACAGGAAAAAACCACATGAATAACTAAGTAACTTGTCTATATATATAAAATCCAATGTATAATTATTGTGTGTAGCCTATGTTTGTTTGTCCTTTATGGACTCGGAAACCGCTCGACAGATTGTAATGAAACTTTCAGGCATTATTAAGCATTATTCAAGGATGGTTTGTGTGAACTTAGGTGCAGATTCGTCAAAAGGGCTCTGCCCCAGTGGCTCTGGAGTTTCCCATGTTAACCTTATGAGGTGATGTAAGTTCAATAGCATTAAAAAGTTAACAGGTTTACCAACAGGGTGCAGCACTATTTTTTCCTAAATTTATGACAACGGCTAACTTGCAACAAAAAGGTGAGTGAGCGTAGCGAACGAACTTCAACCAGGACGTGATTGAGCCATGCGAACGAGCTCATCTTGAAAATGAACGATAATTTGACATAAAACCATATTAGGACAGGACGACGTCTGTCGGGCCAGCTAATTATAAATAAATTAAACCAACAATTACACCGCTTATAAATATGATGTTCAGCTGTATAGTGTTAGTTGTTTGTTTTTTATTCTTGTTGTCATTATTAATTCAAATATGAAGGACCTTTTTCACATCTAATCACTAAACTCATTGTGTAAGGCAGATATTAAATGCAAAACACAAAGAAGAAGAAGACTTTCCAACAAAATAGAAATGTATCTTTAAAATTATTTCAAAACAACTTGAAAATTGTTAATGAAAAATGATGTATCACTAAACAAATCTCACAACCATTCGACCAGTCAATCATATAATTTGGTTACTATTTGAAAGACATGAACCACACAAATGCATTAGTAGATTCTCTGATCATAATAAAATATTATTATGCTTTATCATTATAAATAAATCGTACAAATAATTATGTTTAAATTTGTATTTAGTTGCATACCAGTATAGATACTGGCAGCCAGCAGTAGCAGCCAGTTGTGGACGTCCAGGTCAAGAGAGAGAGGTGAGGCAGTTAACATTGCCACTAGAACACCTAAAAGACCTGAGGCACTGAAACAGACAACCAAATATTAGATATTAGTATTGAGTACAAGTTTTGAGTTAAAAATCATGTGTGAGGGGACCACGTCTCGTTGTCCCGCCGTCTAGTTGTACCTACGTCTACTTGTACCTCGAGGCCTAGGGACAACTAGTCGTAGGTACAACTAGACGTAGGTACAAGTAGACGGTGGCACACCCAACTAGTTGTACCTGCAGATTTTTAGGAGGTACAACTAGACGTAGGTACAAGTAGACGTAGGTACAACTAGACGTGTATCCTACCGACAAGTAGTATCACCTAGCTTGTACGGATGCGACCAGTTTGTCCCTACGACTAGTAGTCCCTACGACTAGTGGTCCCTCCGTCTAGTAGTCCCTACATCTAGTTGTACCTACGACTAGTTGTACCTACGCGTATTTTGCGTCCTTATAGTCTAGTTGTATCTATCCTTCAATTCGTTACCCTGTTTAATTGATTACTGCACGAGTACTTTTTAATAATACCCTTAATGAAATCAGGAACTGCAGTGTTCCGAGTCAACTGAGTATGATTGGCAAATATTTTTCACCGCACTACGATGTTTTAGTAGTTAATTGATTACTGCACGAGTACTTTTTAATAATACCCTTAATGAAATCAGGAACTGCAGTGTTCCGAGTCAATTGATTATGATTGGCAAATATTGTTCACCGCACTATGATGTTTTAGTAGTTTTACAGACGTAAATTGGAGGCTGAAAGCTACGCATTGCTGTCCAGGGTCGAAATGGCAGCTATAGTTGTAATTCAAATTGTCCAGCCCTAGTACCGAAAAACGCTTTAACATTTATAAATATCATTAAATATACAAGCAGTTTATTATCCTTAATGAATTGCAATAGACCGCTGCCTAGCAATTATGTATTACTATTTTTGCTGCTTCCTTTAAATATTTTTTTTCACATAACCTTAAAGTATTTGCATTGATTAGTGTGCATTTCTTATAGTTTACAATGGATTTCCCAGTGAACAATGAACAATGAAGTGTACAATGAAGTTGAGGTCGAGCGGTTGAAAACTCTATCGAATGTTAGTTGTCTGGCGTCCGATCTGTAGTAAAATCTTTTACTACTCGACTTTTTGAGGAAAGGTTGGGAAAGTAACAACGATCACAAGTTTTAATTAATATTGGCAGCTTTTTCTTTACAATAAATTTTGAACTGCTTACACTAAGCTTGAATTAGAAATAGACATAACTATATATAGTTTTAATGGACTGCTCGATTCCCGTACGTAGGACGGGCCAACAGCTCGTAGGGGACGATAGAAAGGTAGAGTTTAAGTGGAAAAAACAATGATAGCAGATCTTGACAAGAAATAAGGAAAACTAAAGTGTAATATGGATAAGCACTGACCAAGGGATACAAGTAGGCCTACATTGTTATCAAGAACAGGGGTTTCTCAATGAGCTGCAGACAAGCCAAATTTTCCTGGCTTTGGTAGCAAGTTGTTTATAAAAAATTGTTGTAAGATTGTATGATTTTTAAAGAAATAAAATAAATCCCTTAAACTGGTGACAAGTTGAAGGGGAGATACAACTAGCCGTAGATACAACTAGTCGTAGGTACAAGTAGTCGTAGGTACAAGTAGTCGTAGGTACAAGTAGACGCAGACGTATGAGGTACAAGTAGACGGTGGCGTACGTGACTAGTTGTACCTGTAGATTTTTAAGAGGTACAACTAGACGTAGAGACAACTAGACGTAGGTACAACTAGACGTCCGCACCATCGTCAAGTTGTACCTACACCTTTGGACGAGGTACAACTAGACGCCTGTCACCAAAATGCAGCAGGTACAACTAGACGCCGGTACAAGTAGACATCGCCCCTGTGTGAAGTTACTAAACAGATTGTACATTTAAATCATTTTGATGCTGTAATACAAAAGGTTTCCTTTAAAAGTCAAAGTCAACCCCAACAGTTAGAAATGTGATACCTAAAGCCTCTGCAACTTGAAACAAACACACACAAAAATAAGGAAAAAAAGCTTGACATGCTGGATTGGAAATTAATACATTTGTGGAACAGTGGGTTAATATAATATTTGATTCATTTATTTTTTGTCAGTTGGGAAATAAATTCATTTATTCATTCATATTACAGTTAACTAATAAGTTTTTAGTTAACCCGGTACAAAAAGAAGCAATCACTCCTGGCCATTTTCTGATCAAAAACACCTCTCTGACATCTACTCATGAACCAATAAATACCTCACCCATTATTGATAATTTACTTCAAGCTGTTACCCAAAACTTATGCTGCGAACAAATTCTGTTGGTGTCATGAAAATTTAAACATCTCTTAACAACACTGCTCAAATGTTAAGTCCAAGGAAGGGAACCTCAATGTTAAGACCTTATTTTGCTCAAACAAGCCTGTCAAAGTGTTTTTATTCCCTTAACATGTGAGAAATTTAAACAATTTTACATCCCCTCACTGGTAAATTCTCTTTCAAAGCAGGCTATATGTTTAGGCAAGTTGTCTTTGTGTTTTTGTATTAATTTAAATATCTTTGTTCCTAACAGTCTATCTGTAATTCCCATCACACGACCATATGGAAATCTCCATTGTTGCGTTAATTCTTTCGAATCACCTCTCATAAAAACATGTTCTCATTTTCTCTCGTAAAATAAACCTCATTTGTATCAAAACCCTAGATTCTTCTCTTGTACATTTAACTACACCGCACAGTAGGCTACTTACCTAATATTTTGAAACAGCGATTATAGTTAAATGTAGTACTACAGTACTAACCTTACAGAGGACTTGGTATCAGAGGCGAGATGCTTCAGATAGCAGTGCCACGCCTTGGGGTAGGTGGAGGGGGGGAACTTGTCAGCCAATGAGCTAAGAGCTTCACAACACCCCGCCTAGCAACCAGGACATAAACACCAGCTATAAATATTATTATAACACCTTCACAAATATGTTAAACTAGGTGGCGTTCGCAGAGGCATCCACAAAATTGAGCGGAGTCATCAAGGGTATATATTAAATTGTTTTTGTCATACTGCAGTAAAAAAAGGCGTTTTTAATGCATGCGTTGTGGATCTTAAGTGGCATTTTTACTCTTAAGGGAGTAAAAATCGTTTTAGCGAATTTCCCTATAGGGAAGTAGCTATTACCGTTGGTCTCATGGTAAGACCTAGGCCCGGGACCAATTTACTTTCTCATTTTGATGTTCCTAGAGGCCGAAAACACCATTCGTTCACTTATATACTTATAAGTATAAGTATATATATGTATCCATCCGCACGATAACTTGAGTAATATTTGTCCGATTTTGATAAAACTTGGTATGAAGGTGTAAGGCGGGATAAACTTGAACGAACCAGCATGATCGGACTATGGGAACGGGGGTTTACGGGGGTTTTATGGGGTAAAAATAGGTTTTTCCCATTTTTGACCCAAAAAACATAACATTCAGCAATTTCTTTCCAAACCATTTTGTAGAGCTAAAAAAAAAACAAATCTATATAAATAAAATTAGAGTTTTGTCTGTACATTGCTCAGAATAATAAATTTTTAGGTTATTTTTAGGTTTTATACATTAAAAAAGCCGAAACACGTCTCATCTAAATTTCTGTCTGTCTGTCTGTCTTTCTGTCTGTCTGTAACACTCAAGATGGCATTTTACGCAATCTTCTCCAGGAAAACGAGAGTACCTATCAAGATCCAAGTCATTTTAATGTATTCACTGGATTAGCGAGAGTGTCTTTAGCCATTAAAATATGGCCTCACTAATTTGTTAATAAAATTACGGACGTTCAAAAATGCAGTTTTGTGCGATTTTTGTCAAGTTTTCGTCCAATTTTTATCACATAATCATCTATGAAATAACGAACAGCTGTTCGGATCAAGATTATTTTTTCTAGCTGTCACCGATATGTTTACAAATGTTGTTTACAAATACCGCAACCATTTTTGATTTTTGAAGGCAAATCCCATCCAAGTGAGATTAAAAACGTGTTTCTTACATGAAGGATTTAATTAATCGCAAGTGGAATAATATAGTTAGGGATGGTCAAGTCTCGAAATTTCGGGAAATTTTCGGGAAATTTTGAATCTCGTTACACGAGACGAGATTTCTTTTTGACCGAGATTTTTATCGAGACGAGAATAAAAAAAAAAAAAATTAAAACGCCTGCAGAAAGTCAATGCAATACCCGCAATACAGGAGCGTGTTGTAGTTACGTTTCCTTTGCGAAGGCGTTCTTATTTAATTAATTCTTTAAATGTAAATACTACTTTAATTATTTTAATAATATTACTTTAATAAACATTATTGAGAAGTTTTGTTAAGTGTAAGCAGTGTGAGGAATGTTTTATTGGGTCATTCCATATGAAATCAACCAATAAAAAATTATTTTCAACCTGACCATCTTAGATTTTGATGAAATTTTGCATACTTGTAGTATTTTGAGTCCTGAATCCAAATATGCTTTTTAAAAAATCTATCTTTTATAGTTTTTATGATATAAATATTTGAAAATGGTAAAAATTGGCGTTTTTTACCGTGCGCGCAAATCTAAAATGTTGTCTAGGATGAGTTCTATTAATCCTATCAAGTTGTACAATGGCTCATTTTAAAGAGGATTCAAGTGCCTTTAATCTGATACCAAACTCAACCTACTTTGGTAAAAATTAATTTTTTTTGAAAATTTCAAAATATGTTTTTGAAAAAAAATTTTAGATAGTGTTTTTTGAAAAATTTGAAAATTACATATGTTAAAGAATGTAATCTAGTAAGTACATTATAAAAATTTCAAAATGGGATGATAATGGGATCAGCAGTTATGATAAAAATACTTGACTATGGTTCACTGTTTCCAAGCATTTCGGCGCATACAGCGTGTAAGTACTAACCTAAATGTATCATTAAATAAGAGTCTATTAATTATATGATTAAAATTAAAAATATCTGCCTATATTTGAATTATGTATGTCATATTTTGCTATATATAAACTAAATAAAGCAAGTAAACATCATTATTCAAGTTAACAGAGTTTCCGTCAACCTTTGAACAAATATGGACCAATTTGTTTTGGTTCAGGTTCCTCAGTCTTTTCCAGTTAGTTGTGTTGCAACGATTTACTGTAGGCCTAATCAATCTTTAAGTCTGCCTTTTCACTAGGCTGGAGACTAGTCAGCCACTAGATCTGTGCAAAATCACATTGTGAAGCACTTTACGTTTACACTATCAGGTTGCAGCGACCCATCTCGGCTGTAGCGACTCGGTCTTGAGACAAGAGGAAAGACTGACAAACATAAGTTAGACCTGTGTACCTGTCAAACAAATTACAACTGCTCAAGACCGGGTCGCTACTGCCGAGGTGGGTCGCTGCGACCTGATAGTGTAAACGTAAAGTGCTTCACAATGTGGTTTTGCACAGATCTAGTGGCTGACTAGTGTCTCCAGCCTAGTGAAAAGGCAGACTTAAAGATTAATTACAGTAAATCGTTGCAATACAACTGGAAAATACTCAGGAACCTGAGCCAAAACCCATAGGTCCATGTTTGTCTGTCTTTCCTCTCGTGACAAGAGAGAGAGACAAACAAGCATTGATAATTTTGTCACACAATATACTGTGATCAATCTATATAAATCCTGTAGTAACCTTATTATTGATTCATAGATAATATTCCATGATAGCCTAATTATTTAGTTTTGGGGAAATGTCTGCTCATAAGTATAAATAATGTATTCTCACTTTAACAATTAAATTTTTTTAGTGAAAACTGATTTGTGGATTTAAATACCACAAACCACATACCACATTGCTGTATAACTTCTATTTTGATATGTCAAAAATTAAAAAAAGTTACGGAGAATTTTCAAAATGTCCGTCCGGTTATTTTTTAATTTTGCAAGGGTATTTTTAAATATCATAGCAGTCAAATAAAGGAATTGGATTATGGCTGCTAATAATAACTAAAGCTCAAAACATCTGTTTTCATTAGAAAAATCATTTTCAAAAATAACACTTAAAACCCAAGTATTTCTTTTTCATGTCCGGGAAATTTTGCTCCAGATCTAAGGGTCGCGACGCCATAAGTAAGGGTCAGCAAATTGGGTAATTTTGTCTTTCTTTTTTTAAAGTTATTACTGCTTATAAAGAAATCAAAGCAGGTATTTTCTTAATCCCAGATAAATGGGCTATTCAATTATGGTTTTAAGTCATAAATCATAAACTTACTGGGTTTGCTGTAGACATGGAAGTTTGGACAACTTTTTTTTACTAAAAAATGTCAGTGAAAAATAAGTATTTTTAATTTTTTGCAGAACCATAGTATGCACTATTAAAATTTTTTTTAGTAGAGTATTTATCTGGGAATAGAAAATTATAATAAACATTATCATTTAAAGATAAAATTAATATGAAAAAAAATAAAATATGAAAAGTGGAAAGTTTGTTCAAAGTAGCCCTCATGTTCAAAGGTTGACGGAAACTCTGTTAACTTGAATAATGTTGTTTATTTGCTAGATTTAGTTTATATTATAGCAAAATATGACATACATAGTTCAAATATAGGCAGATATTTTTAATTTTAATCATATAGTTAATAGACTCTTATTAAATGATACATTTAGGTTAGTACGTACGCTTGGAAAACGCTTGGAAACAGTGAACCATAGTCAAGTATTTTTATCATAACTGCTGATCCCATTATCATCCCATTTTGAAATTTGTATAATGTACTTACTAGATTACATTCTTTAACATATGTAATTTTCAAATTTTTCAAAAAACACTATCTTAAATTTTTTTTCAAAAACATATTTTGAAGTTTTCAAAAAAAATTAATTTTTACCAAAGTAGGTTGAGTTTGGTATCAGATTAAAGGCATTTGAATCCTCTTTAAAATGAGCCATTGTACAACTTGATAGGACCAATAGAACTCATCCTAGACAACATTTTAGATTTGCGCGCACGGTAAAAAACGCCAATTTTTACCATTTTCAAATATTTATATCATAAAAACTATAAAAAATAGATTTTTTTAAAAAGCATATTTGGATTCAGGACTCAAAATACTACAAGTATGCAAAATTTCATCAAAATCCAAGATGGTCAGGTTGAGAGCCTTGTTGATTTGATATGGAATGACCCTACTAAAAAAAGTCAAAACAAGTAATTATTTTATAAAAATTAATATTGCTTTTATTTTATGATTTATTTTGTTTTAGGATAAGTTGAACTCTATCCTAACTGATATCACTATGTTTCCTAATCGTAGGCATTTTTAATAAGTTAGGCGTGATTAATAAAAAAAATGTTATGCTGATGTTTTTTAATAAAAGATTGTAAATATTCTTGCCTATTATCATTATTTTTGTATTTAAACAGTCATCTAACAATGTTACAAAATCAGGAAAAAATTTTGAACGTGCATTTCCCGTTGTGTATGAGAAGGGAAATCCCGTCTCGATCTCGTCTCGAAATTTTATGAGAAATAAAAAATCTCGTCTCGAACTAAAAATCCAATCTCGTCCATCCCTAAATATAGTGTAACCGTAAATTAAATTAAATAACTAGGCTTCATCCAGGTCAGGAACCAGAGATTCTTTGTGCATAAAATTGTTTTTGAGTTTTGATAACCAGAAAGACGACCTTGAATCAGTGTTGTATACGGCTGGGAATCTTAAATTTATTAATAATCGTCGCCAATAGAATAGCTTAGAAACAAGGTTCCACTCATTGACGGCGCTTCAATGGCGGTTGTGTAAAGTGTAAAGTAAAAAAACACAACTGCAGTGGGTAATTGTAACAGAGGTTTACGGATGATGCTAAACTCGATTTTCCAATGTGTCACTTTCTGTTCCTACCATTGACTATATATAGTCCATAGTTCCTACTCACCGTGTGA